CTCCACCCCCTGAAAGTCGCTGCAATGCCTTTAGAGCTTGCTTTCTAGAGGGAGCTCTTCCACATGCTTCTTTTTTTAAAAGTAGTAATTTTAACTTTAAGAATCAAAACTGTGTTGATTTTCTGGGGGTGTTTTTGGTACTCTTTGCCTGGTCTGGATCACTTGAATAAGATCCGCTCATGAAAGCTGCAGACAGGAGCACTTGTGAAAATAAATGATGGCGTGCTCACCATTTAGTTTGCCAAGCTTTCGTTGAAAAAGCAGGTAAGTTTTATTAAAAATGCGTCTTTCTGCTCTTTGGTACAAATCACTGCAGTATTGACAAACGGTGCCACTAGGCCTGTAGCATCGAAGTGTGCTCACAGTCGACGCTGGCTCTCTGCATTGGGGCAGTGTCAGGCTGAGTGCTGTGTGGACTGAGCTGGCATCTTGCTGGGCAGATACATCATGTTCCCGGCAAACAGAGCCTCGCAGGTCTTTATCGCTGTTTTTCTGGAGCCTTGGCTTCCTAGCTGTAATGTGGCTCTTACCCACATAGGTGCTCACAACTGTACAAGCTGAGTAAGCATTTAAGGGAGTAGGGAAAGATCTAACTGGTGCACTAAAGGCCGCTCAGTTAAATTTCACTGTAGCTTTCAATGCAGACAAGGACCTTTTGCCTTTGATTCTCATTAGTAAAGTGAGGAAATCTGATTGTCTACTCAGTAACTCGTGTTCACATGGTGTTGTGAAATGGGGCTGCTAAGCTCCAGCTCCTGCTCTTTAAACCTATCTCCAAATACTTTTTTTATAACTGGGGACAGATCAAAACTATAATTGCAAGCTGAAGGAATTGGAAGCTTACTGTAAAAATCTTTGTAGATGTAGTTAAGCAAAAACATCCACATTGAAAAGATGTGTATGTGTGTGGGTAGTTAGTATGTTGGGGCATTTACTCCTGTTTTCTGGCTAGTTGTTCTGTTAAGTGGGTACCTACCTACAATCCCTTGCTTTCTGAAAGCTTCTCCCTTCCCCTCTGGGGACCCCCTGGCTTCAGCCATGCCTGAAGTTTGAAGGGGTATGTATTCAGGATTAAGACTGGGCTAGCAGAGGTGGGAAGGTTGAGCCAGGACCCAGGGGTAACGATTTGTTACTAAAGTTGTGATTCTACTGTAGAACCAATAGTGAAGCCCTCTCCATCCTGCTGTTTGATCCGTTTTATGTAAGAGGCCAGTGTTCACTGGTGAAGGCAACACAGAATTTATATTGAGAACTGGGTGTTCATTTAGATTTTAAAGTTATGTTTATGAGTCCTACCAAGATTGCTGAACTGAGCAAGGAATGTGTGAAGTTTTTGTTCATTGGGATGTACTTTTCTCTTAATGACAGCTTTATTGAAATATAATTCACATGCCATACAATTCACCCATTTAAAGTGCACAAATGAGCAGTTTTTAATATATTCAGGATTCTGCAGCCATTACCACAACCAATTTTAGAACATTTTCATCAGCTCTGGAAGAAGCCTGTTAGCAGTCACTGCCCATGCCTGCCCGCCTGCTCCTGGCAGCCACCAGTCAGTCTGACCCCGCCACGCCTCCCCTCCCCCCCCCCCCGTGTCTGGGGACTTGCCTGTTATGGACATTTGGCATTGATCTTTTACTTAGAATGCTTTCACGGTCCACCCATGTCTAGCATGTTTCAGCGCTCCATTAGCCATTAAAGCTGTATTCATCTGTTGATTGCACTTGACTCTTACGTTTTGATTGTTAATGAGTGATGTCACTCAAGTTTATGTGAGGGTACCTTGAAAAGTTCATGGAAAATGGAATTGAAAGGTGATTTTTTTCCACAAACTTTCTGAACTCCTCTGATCTTTATTGCATCATCATCATCATAATGTTGTATAAAAATGGTGAAGCTGTTTAGACCACTAGAGTTTTTGGGATTTGTAGTGCCATGAAATACATCTAGAACAAGACTATACTTAAAGTGCAAGCCTTTCTTTGTCGCACACAACATGTAAGTTTCTTGTAACTACCTTGTGGTCTTCATTATCAAGAGAAGTCTATGATCCTTTCTTGTTCAAAGTCTCCTTTCCTGCCTTTCACCAGTGGCTTTTTTTTTTAATTTTACATGTTCTGTAGTTAAGATATACTGTGTGTTGAAGTGAGTAAGAGTGAAAGATTGGAAGTCTTGAATTTGCTTCTTATTTTTTTTAAAGATTTATTTATCCAAAAGTCAGAGTCGGTGGGGGAGGTGGTGAAATATCTTTTATCCTCTAATTCATTCTCCATATGACTGCAGTGGCCAAGACAAGACTAGGCTAAAACAAGAGCCTAGACCTTCATCCAGGTCTCCTACGTGATTGGTAGGGGCCCCATACTTGGGCCATCTTCAGCTGCTTTTCCAGGCACATTTGCAGGGAGCTGGATCAGGAGAGGAGCAGCTGGGACTTGAATGCTCATAAAGGATGTCAGCATTACAGGTGATGGCTTAATTTGCTGTGCTACAGTGCTGGCTCCTGGGGTTTGCTCTCAAATAATACAGTCATGGGGAAAGTGCATGAAATACAGGTGAAACAACATTTGCCATGAGCTAATAGAGTAAAGCTGAGTGATGAGCCATTTGGAGCACAGTATGCATTCCTTACTATTGCCTTCTTTTTAATAGTTTCCCACAGTAGACATTTCGTGTAGTAGTTAAGCTGCTTCTTGGGACACTTCCATTTTGTACTGGAGCATTTGGGTTCAATTCTGCTTGGGATTCCCGCCTCCTGCTGATGTGCTTCCCTAGGAGGTAGAGACCAGAAACAAAATCCTGGCTCTGGGCTGGCCCTGGCCATTGCAGGCATCTGGGAAGTAAACCAGGTGATGGGCACTGTCTCTGTGTGTGGCTGCTTCTCTAGTGACAATACGTGAGCCAACATTGACACTAAAAGCAGTGCTGTAACATACGGGAAGGAGGGCACAGCTGGTGGTCTAAACCAGCTTTTCTGGGAATAGGAAGTCAGGAAGGGATACCTAAAATTGGTAGCCAATCAAGAAATAAGCAAGAGTGGCAAGCTTTGTGGTACAGCAAGGTAAACCATTGCTAGGTATGCCCACATCCCAAATTGATTTGCCAGTTTGTGTCCTGGTTGCTCTGCCTCTGGGAAGCAGCAGAGGAAGCCTAAGTCCTTGGGTCCCTGCCTGACATTAGGAGACCCTGCTGTGCAGTTCCTGAATCCTGGTTTTGGTCTGGCCCAATACTTCGTAAACTTAAATGTAAGAAACGTGATTTCAGAGATATTAGAATATGAAAAATGTGCACTCAGAATTTATTAAATATGATAAGTATATCCTTATTGTTGTCTGTAGCATACATAGTACTTACCCAAAGTTCTGGTGTCTCTTGGTTTTTTTCTTTTTCGTTCGGGAACACAGCCCCCTTTGGAGAGGCATGGTTTACAAAGGACACAGTTACTGGGTAAAGTGACAAGGAGGATGACAAACACAGAGATGCCAATGAACCTGTTTCCCTAATCCCACCTTATGCCCATCCCTACTACTCCCTCTATATCCAGACACATCTGGCATGAGAGTCCTATAGTTTGGTTTTTTGATCTTAATTTCTTCTTGACCCTCCATAAAAAAGTAAATACTACTTAGACTATAAAATACTATGAGACATGAAATTTGGAGGTTTTTTTTTTTTAAGGTTTATTTATTTTTATTGGAAAGGCAGATCAGATTTTTGGAGAGGAGAAACAGAAAGATCCTTTTTCCTGGGCCCGGGGTGGTAGCCTAGTGACTGAAGTCCTCACCTTGTATCCCGGGATCCCATGTGGACACTGGTTCGTGTCCTGGCTGTTCCACTTCCCTTCTAGCTCCCTGCTTATGGCCTGAGAATGCAGTCAAGGATGGCCCAAGGTTTTTGGACCCTGCAGCTATGTGGGAGACCTGGAAGAAGCTCCTGGCTTCTGGGTTTGGATCGACTCAGCTTGGACTGTTGCAGCTGCTTGGGGAGTGAACCAGTGGATGGAAGATCTTTGTCTCTTCCTCACTCTGTAAATCTGACTTTCCCATAAAAATAAATAAATCTTAAAAAAAAAATCCTTTGTCTACTGTTTCATTCCCCAACTGGCCATAATGACCAGAACTGAACTGATCAGAAGCCAGGAGCCTGTTCCAGGTTTCCCATGTGGGTACAGGATCCCAAGGTTTTGGGCCATCTTCTATAGCTTTCCCAGGCTACAAGCAAGGAGCTGGATGGGAAGTGGAGCAGCCAGGACATGAACTGGCGCCCCTATGGGATCCTGGCGCGAGCAAGGTGAAGGTTTAGCCACTGGGCCATCATGCCAGGCCCCCAAATTTGGAGTTTTATGCCCCCCCCTTTTTAAAGCCTATTTATACTTAGAAATACAAAGTGACACAGATTTCATATATTGAAGAAATACATATGGGATTATTTTTATTTTCTTGGTATAAAAACCTAGTTATAGAATAAAGTGACAGCTAATACCATGGCTCACTGATGATATTCAGTGAGCTGAAACTCAGAGACAGGGTTTTTTTTTTTTTTTTTTCCTAAAGAACAGGATCTTGAAGCAAGTACGCATTGAATGCATTAGTGTTAAAGGAGTGAAGGACACACCATGAGGCCTCCTACCTCAAGACCAACCAAGGAATGCATATTTGAAGCCAACAAGGAGAGCCTGGCATCTGGAGGAGGCACAGGCATGACCACTGGGATTTGCCCGTAGGAGCTGAGGGGCTTTAGGGGTCAGACTGCAGGCTAGCAGATCTGTCGGAAAGCCCAAGGGAAGCTCAAGGAGGCTGTGCCGAAGCCTCAGGATACTACCTTGGGGTTGGCCACTCAGTAAGCAAGGAAAGTAGCTAAAAGCAGGCTTCCTTAAATGGAAAAAAAAAATGTCTTTGAGATACTGGTCTGTCCTCCAGCTTAACTGTCGAAGTGAGAAGGCTGAGCCCGCGGCACTTTGCATAACCTGCATAACCACCTCCCTGTTTTTTCTGTCACAGATCGCCTTCTCCCAGCACAGCAATTTTATGGACCTGGTACAGTTCTTCGTGACTTTCTTCAGGTAACTTTGTTTAATATGAATTATGTTTTTTCAACTCAGGTATTTGATCCCATCCAACATCAGCTCGTAAGCAACAGATCTGACTTTACTAACTTTTCTGTGTGTTGCATGTCACACTGTGTATAAATTCATTCTGATTTGAGAAAAATGTTTGGTTTGTGTGTTCTCTGGCTTTTGAGGGGTTGAGAGTGATAACTTGTAGTATATACTAAATTGTAGGTAATTAGGATTGTCAAATGAGGAGAATTTTGGACTAAAATAGCATTTAATTAATAATAGTTACTGATCTGAGCCACAAATATGCTTCCTCTTGTTCAAGAGCTTATTCTGAGGGCTGGCACCGTGGCAGAGCAGTTTGAACTGCTGTCATATGGGTACTGTATCAAGTCCCAGCTGCTCCACTTCAAATCCAGCTCCCTGCTGGTGCACTTGGGAAGGCAGCTGAGGATGGCCCAATTCCTTGGCACCTGTACCCACATAGGAGACCCAGGTGAGGCTCCTGGCTCCGTCCTGACCTCTCCCCAGCTAATGTGGCTGTTTGAGGAGGGAACCAGCAAATGAAAGCTTTCTCTCTCTTTCACCTCTCCCTTCTCTCTTATCCTGCCTTTCAGATAAAAATAATTAAATAATCATTTTTGAGAAAGAGAGACAAGTAAGGGTTTATATTTGGCATGGTGGTTAAGATGATGCTAGGGACACCCACATTCCATACTGGGGTGTTTGAGTTGGAGCCCCAGCCCCAGCTTTGCTCCCATTTCCAGCTTCATGCTAGGTTGCACCTAGGAAACAGTAGGTACTGACTCAAGTGCTTGGGCTCCTGCCACCCATATAGGAGACCCAGTTGGGGCTCCTGGCTCTTGACTTCATCCTGGCACATCCCTGATTGTTGTAGGCATTTAGAGATTGAACAAGCCAATGAAAAATCTCATCTCTCCCACTTTGCACTTAAATAAATAAATAAATATTTTAAAAATTAACAAAAAGACAAGTGCTTTGCGAGAAAATACCAATAGTCTGCCTCACACCTTCCCACTTTAACTTCCTGCCATTTTAAACTGCATTTGCTGGTTTTTACTTCTCTATTTTCATGAATCCTTGACTTTAGAGTTCAGTTGTCTTTTTGTGTCCCACCATAGAAATGAGGATTCACTGCATTACCCTGATTCCTCAACAGCTGCCCCCGCCCCACATTGCATACAGAGTCCCCTTCCTCCTGCTCACAGGCTCAGTTAAACTAAGGGTCCTCCTCCAATCACAGCTGACTGCAACTGTGATTACCCATTATTTGGATAAAAGAAACACTCCTGGCTTATCCTAACTAGGGCCTTTGAGTTTTCTGTGTACCCACCCATGATTTATTCCTGTCCTGTGACAGAACTGACACACCTTTCTCCAGATGGCTTTAGTCTCTCTCAGAGATTTCCACCCCAAGAATCTCCTGCCTCAGGTGTCCTTGTCTTTGACGCCTGCCACACAGCTTTCATCATGGAATGTCATTTTAGTTCTTCTTATTGAAGTCTCTGTGTCCCAGCTCCTTGTCTCTGCCTTCCGGTGTCTTCTGGCTTTCACTCAAGCACACTGTCTGGGAAACACCTTTTATAAACTTCCCTGACTGAAATCTCTGTCAGAAATTGTGTCCTCACACAGTGATGAAAAGCTTGAAAAAGATTCTAGGCTGGAAATAATTTTCCCTTACAAATCAGAAGGCATTGTGCTGTTAATACGGAGGAGGTTAATGCTGTTAGAATTATAAGGGAAAGCAGGGGAAGATGGTCCACGTGATTGGGTCCTACACCCATGTGGGAGACCCAGAGAAAGTTCCTGGCTCCTGGCCCAGTCCTGGTTATTGCAGCCATTTGGGGAAGATCACCAATAGATGGAAGATTTTTCTGTCTCTCTTCTTTCAAATAAATAATAAATCTGAAGAAAGGAAGGGAGGAAGGGAATTCACTCATCCAGCATCTTATAATGCTTTTTCCAGCCAGCTTAATGGGCTCTCCTGGTGTCAGCACCTGGGTGCCTTGAGGTGCCACTCAGGAAGTTGACTGAAATGCCTGCTAAGGTAGAGCCTGCAAGCGGTGCCCAGCGCAAGCTGGGAGCCGTTTGCATGCCCCTCTCTGCGGAAATGCTCTGTAGTGGCCCCTTTCACAAGTTCACATGTATAAATGGTGGGTTTTACTTTATCTGTAGCACTTACCTAAGAGGTTTGCTCAACTTGTTCTGCCTTTTAACCTTTCTCTGTTCTCACAGAAGCTTTCAACCAATTAGTGTGTATTTTACATGCAGATGAGAGTGTTTGCAGTACTAAATATTTTCAAGAAAATTGTTGGTTTAAATTTGCATCTTTATGTGTTTTGTTTTTTTAAAATATGTAAAAACTTCAGAAAAATACTGTTAAATATGTATTAGTCATACACATAAGCTTCTGTTTCCTTTGTTTTACCTGTTCTTATGAAAATCTGATTGTTACTTTAATAATTAACTTTTCTCATTCTTTTAGAGTTGACCAGTAAATGTTTGTTAATTTGAGTAATGATTATGCTTGTTAGTTGTTAACATTTTCTTAGGATGAATTTTCTTACTTGGAATAAGCCCCGTTGGCCCTTCTAACGGAGGCTCAGAAGGGAGACCATGGCTTCTCTGGATGCCTGGTCAGAACCATGTGGCCCCAAGGGGGCGCAGGACACTCAGGTTACCCAAGACTCCTCACAGCTAGCTTCCTGGGAACCAGGACGTTGTTGTGAGGAAACATCAGGAAGGAATGGGCAACTGGTTGGGAAACTGGACGTTGCTTTGCTGCCTGGCCTGAGGTGTGGATGATGGTGGGGCCAGCTCTGGGACTTGGGATGCTAACTCAGTACTCTGCTTCCACACAGTTGTTTCCTCTCTCTGCTCCTGGTGGCTGCTGTGGTTTGGAAAATCAAACAGAGTTGCTGGGCCTCCAGACGTAGAGAGGTAAGCCACCTGGGAATAACAAGAGGATCCCTGTCAGAGCTTTTTTCGTCTTTTTCTTATACACAACAAGTCTGTTTTAGCTACTTACTGATGGTGGATTAACAGGCACTGCCACGATAAGAAGGCTTCTCTTCCTGCAGTCTCAGGTTCTACCGGATGTGGCCAGAAGACTAAGATGTGTGCTCTCTAGACTAGAATGAATTCTGCCCCACATTGTCTTACCTTTCTCAAAGGACACGGCAGTGATGACTTCTTGAGGACAATTTTGCCATCTTCTTCCCGATCTTGGAGTCCTGACTCAGGGGGAGTGGGCACCATTTCACTTGGCATGACCTTCACAAGAGCTTTCATAAGAATGAGAGTGAAGTCAGCCATTTAAGCAGCTCCAATGTTTTCATTACTCAACAATACAGGCTATTGTGTAAGTTTTGAGGTTATTTTATTTTTTAATGAGTCTTGACTTGTTTCCAGAGCTCCCATCACAAAAGTAGTGACTCAAGCAGATATTTACAATTGAAAAATTCAAATTAAAAAAACCTTGGTTTTAAAATTACAACAAGAATAGTATTGCAGCTTTCACTCTTGCTGCACAGTTGCTAATGGAAGTGCTCAGGCATTTAAGATAATAAGTATCATTGGTGTGCTCTTTGGTAATTGTTTTTATAATTTAAGGAATGACATATTTAAACATTTTAAAAAGTTTTGTTACTTAATACATTTGTTACTTAATACATTACTTAATACATTTAATACTTGCCAATTAATTATATGATATTGGAAGAAATACAGTTATTAAAATGGAATAAGAAGGAAGTAGAAAGCCATAAGCCAGTAAGAATAAACTTGTTGCTCTCCATAAGAAAAGGGCACGAGTCTCAGGGAGTTAGCTACTGAGATGAGCTGCTGGGACCAATGATAACCTTCACCTCCTTGGGTGCTATTTCCAAACCTATAAACTTTTTTCAGAGCAAAGGAAAAGGTGAAAAGCTTAAAAGATGCTTAATAGACTTTATGCATACTAATCTTAATATTGGGGCCTGTGCAGATTAAGCTACCACCTGTGATATTGGCATCTCAAATGGACACCAGTTCATGTCCCACCTTCTCCACTTCCAGTCCATCTTCCTACTAATGGCCTGAGAAAGCAGCAGAAGACAGCCCAAATCCTTAGCCTCTGCCACCCATGTGGGAGACCCAGATAGAATTCTTGGCTCTAGTCTGCGGCCTAGCCCAGCCTAGGCCATTGTGCTTATCTGTGGAGTATACCAACAGATGGAAGATCTCTCTCTAGCTCTGCCTTTCAAATAAATAAGCAAATCTTCTTTTTTAAAAAGAAGATATATTTATTTTATTGAAAAGGCAGATTTACCGAGAAGGAAATAGAAATTTGGGTCCCAATGACCCCAAAGGCCAGAACTGAGCTGATCTGAAGCCAGGAGTGTCTTCTGGGCCTTCCACATGGGTGCAGGGTCCAAGAGCTCGGGCCATCCTCTACTGCTTTCCCAGGCCATATGCAGGGAGCTAGATCAGAAGTGGAGCAACCAGGACATGAACCAGCACCCATATGGGATGCTGGTGCAGGTAGGGGGAGGAGTTTGCCAATAGAGTCATCATGCTAGCCCCAAATAAACTAAACTTTAAGAAGAATAAATGAAAGAGCCCAGATACCATGACCTGACAAACATAGCATCAGAAAATAATCTTGTATGAGCAGCCCTTGGGTTGCCAATGTGATAAAAAGATCATTTAATATCAGCCGGTTAGAGTACACATTATCATTGCATTAAAAATGGCCCCTAACTTCTTAGTGTACAGGACAAATAACCATTTAGTCATGTATTGAAATTCAGCACCTTCTTCTACTTAAAAACAAAGCTTTTAGTGAGCTCGAAAGTGTCTTTTTTAGCACTATGAAGGAAAGTCTGGATAACTAGCGTCACTCATGATGAGAGAACACCAGCAATGGTAGCAATAAAATCCCGAATTGCTATGGCAACTGACACTGGAGTGTTTCTCAGTCCTAGGCACCTGTCTCAGTGGTTTTACGTGGACTAATTAATTTAATCCTAATATCAACCCTGCTAAGCTAGGGAACTGAGGCCCACAGAGGCCAAGGATGGCCTCACCCTCGTGAGCTTATCAAGAAGCAGAACTGTGCCTGAAACCAGGGACTTCACTCTTCACAGCCATGTTACCAATCAGCATAGAGCATCCAAGTGCTTAATTTGGTTTTGGACTCTGCACAGGAAGGAGAAGTGAGTTTTGTTATTATTGGAAAGAAGAAAAATTGCTATCTAAGGCTGTTGAGATACAATAGAAATGGATCTACATAAAATTTAACTTAATTTTATCAAAATTAATGAATGACTCAGGATACAATTGACTAGAAAATAATTTACAACCTGGAACATAAGATGAACACATTGTAGAAGAAGAATTTGCTGAAAAGTACGCCTGGCCTCAGTCCCTCAGCAGGTAGTCCAGCAGATGCCGTCAGTGGCTCATGAATGTGCACTTACTGTGGCCGGAGCCGAGCTGCAGCATCTCATGTGATCCCAGTGGCAGTCTCATGGAATCATAACCCGTGTCAGAAAGGAGGCACCTGAAGCCCAGAGACTTGACACGTCTTCAAGAAGGATGCACAGCTGAGATCTTCCAACATCAGGATCTCTGACTTGGCTGTCTGCCCTATGAAGCTTCACTGTTAGGTTCCTAGTTTGCACTGCCCTTGCAAACAAAGAGCTCACTCAGTTTCCCTCACACCCAGCAACATTTAATGGTTCCTGTCATTATTTGATAGTCTGTGCCTGCGTTTCCCGGACCATCACTGAAGTGTCATTTTGCACTTGATTTTCTTTGAAACGTTGACTGATACAGTCCCCTCAGTGCTGGTTGTCTCACTGCTCACTGTTACTCTGCAGCAACTTCTCCGAGAGATGCAGCAGATGGCCAGCCGTCCCTTTGCCTCTGTAAACGTTGCCTTGGAAACAGATGAGGAGCCTCCTGATCTTATTGGGGGGAGTATAAAGGTGAGAATGTGACTGGCATCCCAGAGAGCAGGCGAGCTGTATGTACGTCTGGTTTCCCCTCACCGCTCCTTTCACCACTCAACACTGAAGCTGTCGGGTGTCCTCTGGTCCACCAGTCTTCAGGCCCTGGCCTTGAGTAGCTTTGTGTTCAGGAGATTCTGAACTGCAAAAGGTTTTTCTGATATTCTTTTTATTATTCTGTAGTATAATGTGAGCACTTTAAAAAGTATATTTGCAAGTAGCTAAGTGTAGCCATTGTTAAACTTGGCATTTTTAGAAGCATCTTATTGGGGGAATATAAAGGTGAGAATATGTGTTCTTTGGAAAATAGATCTTTATGATACTTCTCCCCAAATGATGCATGTCTTCTCTTAGCAAAATGAAGAAGCAATACATATCCTGAACAGAAGATACCTATGGAAGCATTACGGGGCTCGCTAAGTCTGTCCAAGCCCAGGGATTACTTCTCTTCCCCTGTAAAGGAACAAACCATGAAGCAAAACCAGAACCATGGGTTATCTAAAGTGATCCCTGGTTGGCCTCACAATGTGACCTGCCACTGAAATGTCAGTCCTCTATGTGGAAAGCTGTCCCCAGGTCAGTCCTGTAAGAGTTCCATGGGTCCAGATCTAGCTATTAGAGTTCATCAAGGTCAGGAGGAGACAGATGAATGTGAGTAAGCGTGGTGGAAGCAGCAGGCCCCAGATTGGACTGATGCAGGACTTCAGATATTAGTGTTGACAGCCCAAGACCATAAGCATGCATGAAATGTTTACAGAAATAAAATAATTGGGGCCAGTGTTATGACCTAACAGATAAAGCCACCAACGGGCACCAGTTTGGGTCCTGGCTGCACCATTTCTCACCTAGCTACCTGCTAATGCCCAGAAAAAGTAGCAGAGGATGGCCCAACTTTTGGGGTCCATCACCTAAGAGACACAGACGAAGCTCCACTCCCCATCCAGCTCCCTCCTGATGCACCTGGGAAGGCAGTGGAAGATGGCTCAAGTACTTGGACCCCTCCATCCTCATAGGAGGTCTGCATGGAGCACCTGACTTTGGCTTTCACAGCCCTGGTCAGTGTGACCATTTCGGGGTGCGAACCAGCAGATGCCTTTCAAATATGTAGTTCTTTTTAAGAAGTAAAGGCTTCCAGGCCCGGCGCTGTGGCCTAGCAGCTAAAGTCCTCGCCTTAAACGTGCCAGGATCCCATATGGGCGCCAGTTCTAGTTCCGGCAGCTCCACTTCCCATCCAGCTCCCTGCTTGTGGCCTGGGAAAGGAGTCGAGGACGGTCCGATGCCTTGGGACCCTGCACCTATGCGTAAGAGACCCAGAGGAGGTTCCTGGATCCTGGTTTCGGATCAGCATAGCATCGGCTGTTGCGCTCACTTGGGGAGTGAATCATCAGAAGGAAGATCTTCCTCTCTGTCTTTCCTCCTCTCTGTATATCTGACTTTGCAATAAAAATAAATAAATCTTAAAAAAAAAAAAAAGTAAAGGGGAAAGGAGAGGAGAAGTAAGGCGCTAATTTGAAACATCTTTCCAAATTGCACCCAAAGACTGCAACAGAAACCACATGCATGTATTTTCCAGCTAGATAATCCAAACCACATGGCAGATGAGGGATCCTCTTGGTTGACCACTGGACTCCCATCGGCTTTCCCAGCCAACAAGCCAACTTTGTCTCTAAGGAACAGATGTCTCCATCTGACAGATCTGCCATGCATTCATAGCCTTTCTTGTGACCTCTGCGGTTCTGAGTGGGAGGTTTTAAGCTGAATACAAGTCCAGCAAAATACAGCAGCCTAGGGAAGATCCTTCCCTGCACTTGAGACAGCGCCCTGAGGAGGCGGAACTGGAAGCCTGCATGGAGGCAGCAGGCATGTCTTGGTCCCTGCTCAGGAGCACCGCTCCTCTCCCGGGCCAGTGTTGCTGCTGTCAGGACCCTGATGCATCCTGTCCCTGCCTCAGCTGATGTCCTTGTAAGAAATGCTAGTGACTATGGCCTGTGGGTTTTGAGTGAACACTTCAGAAGCACCATGCTAGATAACTCTTTGTTTTCTTCCCCAGACTGTCCCCAAGCCCATTGCACTAGAACCCTGTTTCGGCAACAAAGCCGCAGTCCTGTCAGTGTTTGTGAGGCTCCCTCGTGGCCTGGGTGGGATCCCGCCCCCTGGGCAGTCAGGTGAGTAGATGGTTCTATGGCACAGTGCGGGAAGCTGGGAGGGAGATAAATGATGAGCAGCCTGCATGGCGGAGAGCTGGGTGCAGAGGCCATCCTGAACAGTGCCTGCCTCGTGGCGTGGGCAGCATGAGGTGACTGGCCTCTGGTCACTGACTCAGCCACCTCCCTCAACCTCTGCATGGCCTCAGACCACCTTTCATTTGTCATCGATGTTTCTGGTCCCCTCTGGCTCCACTGCTCCTTCCCACCTCTACTTCCGTGTTCCTCCCTCCACATTTTGTCTTTTTCCCCTTTTTATTCTGATCATCTGCTTCACTTCCTGACTTGCAGCTGCTCGGAGCTGGTCACTGTCACTGGATATTTCTGTTGTTTATGTCATGTTTTAAGTACAAGACACAAGCAACCATCGTAACCGACATTGACAGCTCTGCCCTGGCACCTGCCCATTTTCATTGTGCCCACTCCTTTCCACCCCTTGCCAGCAACTGCATGGAGATGATGACTATATGCTGTTCTTTCTGATTATTCTGTTCTTTCACATGATTATGGCAAATATTTTTGTAGCTTTCCATATAACATGTTACCTATGTCTTTTACACAGTTCCGTCGGATACATGAGTAATAATCTACATAAAGTCATATTTTGAGCATGTAGGAAACATGGAATGTGGTTTTGGAAATGTCCTCGTGAATCATGGGTGTGTTTTAGGGAGGTCTCAGAGAATGTGTTTGACACATTGCAGTTGAGATAATTCTAGGAGGTCAGGACTACCTCAACTGTAGAAAACAGTGAGGCTAAGGAGAGTACACCCCAGGATCCTTCTAGAGCATCAACTCACAAGCCCTCTGCTGGCACAGCAGGTGGACCAGTGCTTTCTCATCCGAAGGCTGGAGAGGAAAGCCTGGGCCTTGCTGTCTTCACTGCACTCACAGGTTCCTGCCTGAGCCCCTGCCGCAGCCCTGCCTGTGCAGGATGGGTCGCCACGTATCTGTGCCACTCAGCAGATGTCAGCCAGTGCTTAGGGCCAGCAGCAATTCCTGTCCCAGCCTTTGCCTGATGCTCCATACCCCACATTGGGGCCATCCTGCCACCCCTCTGTACTTGCTGTTTGAAGAGGTGCTCCTGTCTGGACTCCCAGGGTACCTGGCTCTGCTTTTGCCTTAACACCAGGATGTATATGTGCAAGGGATGCCAAACCCCAAATCAAGCTCTTAAAAGCGTCCCCTTTGTGGGTCCACAGGGTGCAGTTATGAGGTCTGCAGCACAGCTACTAAGCCCAGGAGCGGGCTGGCTGGGACCCACATGTGTTAGGAGACCAGCTCCCCCAGAATGGTGCTTTCCCACATGGAGGCCAGGTTGATTGCTTACCAGTGTAAAAGAGAGGATAGGGCTCTGGAGGTGAAGGTGGGGCTAAAGAGTGAAGAGTAGTTTCTGATCATTGCCAAGTGCAGGTGCTGTCCCAGGAAACATGTGCTTCCTGTTGTCCATTCACTGGCCCCTCCTTGCCTTGGCCTTGAACTGTCAGCAGCCTCAGTTTCCAGTCAGCATAGAACCTTGCTGCTCCCAAGTCTGACCTGCCCTGTATTGTTCGTTAAAGTGACTCGGGCTGACTGACTGACGTGAGATGATCCTGGGTCTCACTGGAAAGCCTGTGCTGTAGCTGGGCACCCTTCTAGAGGCTAGCAGGAGACCGAGGGCTAGGAGCTTGTCTGCACTTGTGGGTGAATGCTCGTCAGCTGAGCACTGGGCCCTCCTTACTGATCTGCTGAAAGCAGGCTACCTCTTCATGCTGCAAATGAAGGGGGGAAGAGTCTGTACGTGCATTTGTCAAGATCAGCTCTGAAAGAATCGATAAAAAGTACTGAAGGAGTTGATGGGATGGAAGAGCAAAGATGGCAGGAGGGGCATGATGGAAGTACGACTTTTTCCTATACCTAGTTTTTTGGGGTTTTGGTTTTTGGCACCATGAAATTTAAAGTTATTTTGAAAATCAAAGCAAGCTTCTCCTTAACATGTGTCCCTTCTGGGGTTCTCCTAAGGTCTTGCCGTGGCCAGCGCCCTGGTGGACATTTCCCAGCAGATGCCAATAGCATACAAAGAGAAGTCGGGAGCAGTGAGAAACCGAAAGCAGCAGCCCCCTGCACAGCCCGGAACCTGCATTTGATGCTGGGATCAGAAACTCCTCGGCCTGGCACCCCAGAGCCATCTGCAGGGGAGGGCGCAGGCAGGAAGATGCTGTGCGGTGTGGCTGGAGGCCTGGAGACCCTTGAAGCATCCGACTCATCTGCATGATCACATGCTTTCTTCGACGGTTTCTCCCATCCGTGTTCCAGCACCTAACCTTTTACGTTTGCATAGGAAAAACTGATTTAGTTCCCAGGTCCAGGGATAAATCCAACTTACTGCTGGAGGAGGCCGGTGTAGAGCCAGCGAGAGAGCTAGGAATGACACTCAGGTTCACTTGTGGAATACCATTCCTGGGACTGCCTCAACTGTGCGGAAAACAAGAGTTGCCACGTAGACATTTCAGCATCAGGCGTTCTGCACATGGTCTTTTAACAGCCAGTCAGGTGAATTCACTTGTTTTCATCTGAAGCCTGCTATCTTTTTAAAAAGATGTGTTATTTATTCTTGCACGGTTTAGACAGGCATCTCTCTTCTAGGGAGTAGCTTTTTTCTAGTTGAGAATAATGCTCCATCTCTTTTGACTCATAACAAGCTAGCGTAGAAGGGGGCTATTTTAAATGTCAAGGTCAGCAGTGTTACTTAGGACGTAAAAGGGCATAGTAAGTAGTTTTCTATAACAGTTTGATTAATTTAGTCTTAATCCATTTGAATTCCTCTTCCTCCCTTTCTCTGTTACACACACACACACACACACGAACACACACACACACACACTAAGTGCCTAGACTTTCAATAGATCTAGCAATTGGAAAGTTAGTAAGCCTGAGATTTTACATAATTACATTCCTACATTCTTGTAAAATTTAAATAGCTACCATTGGCAGTCCGCTCTTTTTCTAAAATCTGATTTGCAGCCAGGAAAGAATTTTTCACCCCAAGGAACATATGACCTAGCAGCAGCAGTAGCAAGCAGAGACTGAGAAGAAAGCAGAATAAGCTAACTGTGAAAGCTCCGGTTGATATTCTTGTCAAAAGGTCAGTCTAGAAGACGCGGTCTCTACACACCTCCCAGCCCCCTCCCATGACCCTGTGGGCCTGACGTGGGGCCCTACCAGAGCAGAGGACTCGCTTGTGACACATGTCTCCTTCAGAGAAGAGCACCTAGTGCTGGCGACACCTGGGTCAGAGCCATCCTGTGTCCCTGCAGCCTGCTCAGAACTCGGGGCTCCTTCTTGGGCGAGGGATGAAGTCCGCGCCTGGGGCAGGAGCCAAGGAGGGGCTCAGCCTACTCCTCCTCCTTCCCAGACAGGTGTGCCTGTGAGGAGGGCAGGAGGCGCTGAGGATGAAAAGCACATGGAAAACACAGAGCAGGAAGGAAAACTCTGAACGTCAGCAGAGGGGGCACTCTCCTCCCCAAGGACACTTCCCCGGCCGTGCTGCTCTGTGTTCTGGCATTAAGCAATGATCTCCTGCACTTTCCTACTCCCCAAGCTGGGATTCTCCAGCTTGACTTCATTTGGATGGCTCTCTGAACACAGGTGCTCAAATTTGAGGATCTGGAGAAGGAAATATTCATGAGCAAAAACTGGTATTTCACCTTAAAACGTGGTGCCTAGACAGGGAGTATTATCTCTTCCCTCACACCCTGACTCCCATGAAGAAGAATCGCCTGGAACAAGAATTGCAAGCAAATCGAACCACAAAATACCAATGCACAAAGCACCTCTACTCCATGATTCACCCCTCAAATAGCTTCTTCCTCACATCACGGTCAAAGAGCAGTTTCTAGAAAAAGGTCCCCTCCTTTAGTGAGCTCCCCACATGCCAACCCTAGAACATAGCTGCCACAGAGAGCATGCTGTATACTGCTCCACCAGGCCTCAGGGTGGCTACTGGGAAATTGCTCTCCTATAAGGAAGATTCTCCTGTTTGCTCAAAAGACCAGTTTCTCCTTGGCCAAAGAAGTCTCTTCCCATGTTAGTTCCATGCCTTGAAATAACATAATAACATGCACCAGGACCCCCCAGCTTCCTGGCTAGCTCTTTTCCCCTGTAGATAATTATGTTTATTTTTTAAAATGAAAGATGAGCTAATGAAATTGAACTCTGCTCCAACAGCGGAGGAACCACCGAATCCACCTGCTTCCCACTTCCCCTTTGCAGCCAACTGAGCAAAACCCTTCCTCTGGGCCACGGGGCAGGAGAAGGGAATGGCAGGCACAAGAGAAACTCAGAGCCAGTTCCCAAGGGTGCCGTCCGCTGGTTGCCGAGTATCTCGGGAGAGCCTGGACCTAAGGTAGTCACAGAAGCACCCACCTTGCACTTACACATAAGTAATGTCCAGGATATTCAGACGTGGACCACCCATGAAACAGAAAAGTATCTGAACATATTTTTGCTCAACATGGAATGTGAGAGTTTGCAGCAGTGGTGTTGTGCCACACACTGGATATCCACGTTCCGAGAAGTCTTCTTTTCAGGCTCCTATCTGCTAAGAACAAAGCTAAGAGTTTCCTCTAGTACATGTCAGCTAAGCCTTCAAATACAACTCATCCTTCAGAAGAAACGTGAAGGGTGAGCTGATCCAAACAGCATATGGGCACAGGGAGAGGCGAGCAAGAGGCGGATCTTTGTTGCCGTTGTGGCTCAGAAGGGCCACTTGGAATTCTCATGGCAACCTCATGGTGCTCTGCGTGTTGAGAGAAGACCGACCAGCCATCCCAAGAAGTTCAAAGACTAGAACTTCTGGAAATCACACTTTCCAAAGAGGGGCTCTCTTCGGCTTTTTTTTTCCCCAAAACCATAGTTTACTGAAATGAAGAGTGGGGGTGGGAGAGGCAAGGTTGTGAATAAACAGCCCCTGTTTCTTCCTGGAGGATGTCGCAACCCCTGGACTCCTGTCCCTGCCTGCCCTCCATACAGCCTGGGGAAAACCCCGTGCCTCCCTGTGGGGGATCACCAGAGCAGGTGGGAGGAGGTGTGGAAAAGGGGCACCTCTACTACCCGGAGCCAGCCAGGAGAGGACGCCTTGGACCGAAGACTGTTGGCACAGGGACTCCCTGCCCAACTGTGGACGAGGTCGGAGAGGCACTGGGATACCAGGGACAAAGGCAGAGTACACCTTCCGTGCAAGGCTTGCTCCTTCTATTTCATGAGGTGTTTCCAGAGTGAGGGTGACACTTCCTTGGGTGATGGTGTTGTTTCATGAACACCTGTGATCCTTGGACTTCAATCATTCAACAGTTACCAAACAGTAACCTCAGCAAACCCCGGGCCATGACAACATCCAGCCCCTCAAGCGAGCTCCCTTCACTCCAGGAGATCTCTCCCAGTGAGAACCGATCACCCTGAGAACAAGCAGAAAAGCAGAAGCTCCCTGTCCTCGGGACATGCATGCCCTTGCTTTCCCGAAGAAATCTAGACCGTTTACCGTGGTGACCAAAGTCGGCTCCAACCATAACGATCACTGCACGGGTTTCCAGGTAGCACAGCCCACCAAAAGATGTTACCCGGTGATGAGTCCGACTCCACCAGCCTGTCCTGCCTGCAAGGGGAGTGGGGAGCTGACGCCTTCCCTTCTAAAGGCAATAATGGAATCGACTCTCAGTAACTAAGTTTGTGCACAAACATTCTAAACACTAGTGAAGCCTGTTGCGTTGAACTAATTCTGGCTCTGGAAATGTTTTTTGGTTATTTACGGTTGTTTTTTTATTTTTCTGTTCCGTTGGGTTTTTTTGTTTATTTGGATTCAAGCTTAGTTTGTTAATATGTATAATTTAGCATCTATTGCACTCATGTAAATATGGAGTAAGTATTGTAAACTATTTCATTGCTGGGGGTTGTGGGTGTTATACATACATTTAGGACTGCAATTTTTGGTATTTTTTGTATTGTAAAATAACAGCTAATTTAAGCAGGAACAAGACAATTAGGGAGGTCTGTGCATTTTAAACACAAATGTGAAGAAATTGTACATAAATGAAAGTAAATCCTATTATATAAACTTCCTTCTGAAATAAAAGTAGATCTGGTAAAAATGTGTTCTGTGTTTATTTTTATTTTGCTTATATTTGCATATTTTGGTTACTGGAACTTTAAAAAGGGGAAAAATGTTTAGCAGCTTTCATCCCAGTGTGCCAGAGTGCACAGTCAGTGTCACCAGAGGAGGAGAAGGTGCAGAACCACAAGGGTGGGGCACCTGAGCTCAGCCCTGGGCAGGCAGACTTGGCCTTTTTCCTGCCCGAGCGGCGCAGCCCACGGGCAGGACTGGGTTTCACATGTGCTGCACTTCACCTGCCAGGAGTCCTACACCGCTGACCTGAATCACTGCCCCCCAGAGACCCGCTCCTGCTCCCCCAGGACCTCTTCATCCTCGGGCTTTTCCCTCTCAGGCCCTTGAATGCTGCATCAGGTTTCCAAACTGCACAGCCTCGGGCATGGTGACAGTCTAGGTCTGCCCAGCCACAGGTCTTGAAGTTTTGAGTTAATTTCCATTTGTAGAGCCTTGCTGTGGGCCTCCAAACAGGCATAATGTAGCTGCTGCCCAGCTCTGGGAGTTCCAGAAGGAAGGAGGGCAGTCCAGCCTAGGGAGGTTGGGCATTGGCAAGGAGCCTGCCCACCAGAGCCGGGGTAGGGCCGGCAGGAGGTGGGAGCACATTCTGTACATTCTCCATGCTGGCCCGATTTGGTGTGGGGTCCACCCACAGGCAGCGTTCCTCAACCGCCTTCTAAGGTGCACTGCAACACTGGAGGTGCGGGCGGGTTGGGACTTTGGACGTGGGGTCTGTGTTTTATGTTGGGGCAGAAAAGATAGGTGGCACTTGGTGATCAGAATGGCAAAGTATGCCAGAGCCTGGCTGTATGCTTAACCACAGTTCCCTTTTCCCAAGCCCCTGGCTTCTTCAGCATTGCCCTTGGGCAGAACTGTGTAACCCGTTGTCACCAATGTCATGGCCCCTCCTTGCTGTTAACAGCAAATGTGTCTCCTCCGCTCTCAGTGTTGCATCTGGTGACACACCTGCATGAGTCTCATCTGAACAGACACTCCTAGAAGCCCAGTCCTACAGGCTGTAAGACATACCTGGCAAAAAGTCCCTCCCACCCTGTGTCCCCACCCCAAGAAAGGGGGCAGCCCAGACGGTCCCTGGGCCTGTAGGAAGGTGCCGATGGGTCCACTCATCTCTCCCGCAAGTCCCACTGGTGTGTCGTTAGTTCCTGTCCGTACAGGGCTGATTCCAAAGGTGTGGATTTAGTTGCATCCAGTCTCACGGTTTGTATCGTTGGTCTGGGACTGGAGGCTCATTTGGCTGTGGGGTGACCTGCACCTGGCAGTACAGCTTCCCCAGACCACCTTGGATCCAGGCTGCCCCAGGCCTGCCACTCCCACCAGGCTCTCAAGCAGGCTGCTGTCCCTCTGGGAAACCACTTGTGAGTGCTGCATGGCCCCTGCCCTCAGGCCATTTACCAGCTTGTGACCATCCTTGTGGCACAAATGAGGCGTTTCTGCACACAGCCCACTGGACCCACTTGGAGGGGGGTGGGCAGCGAGCAGTTTCAAAATCACCCTTGCACCTGGACACTGGGCCTCATGCCAGAGTGCACAGTCAATGAGCCATGTAGGTTCTACCTATAAGTCCACCAACACTGAAAGCACCTGTTTTTCTGCCTCACTTCCACCCCCAGCCACCTGCTTGCTGACTTTGGTCTGGAGTTGGCAACAAGTCAGAAATGCAGGAATGCCTTCTGGGGCCAGTGTGTGTACACAGAGCTACCCGACAGGCCACTCAGGCCAACACGCTCAGACGCAGAGGAACAATGCTTGCATGGCTCCTGGCTGTGGGTGAGCTGGACTCAGTCTGGAGACATTTGGCCAAACACCAAATGTACCATGTTCACACCGGGACCTTTTCAGTTACAAGGAATACAGCCAAACTCCCAGCAACTCTCAACCAATGCATGTCTCCTGAGGCTGCCCTAATAAGAACCACCTATAAAGCTATGGTGACATAACACGCATGTGTTCCTCTGGGTCTGAGGTTGGAACCTGAGGTGCTGGCAAGACTATGCTCTCCTGGAGGCTTTGGGGGAGAGCCCACGTTTCACCCCCAAAGCCTCTGCAAGCTCCTGGCATCCTGGACTCGTGCTGTGTCACATAGGGATCTTGGCCTGTCTTCACATCTCTGTCTCTGGGTGTCTTGTGCTTTGTGTCTCAGCTGTACTCCATGCAGACACATGTGGCTGTATTTAGGGTCCACTGAGATAATTCAGGACTAGCATCTCCTTTTGGGACCTGCTATGTAACCACACCTTTTGCTTTATATACAAAGTAACAGGCTACACGGAATAGGATGAGGACACACCAGCAGCCATGGGAACTGTTTCAATATTTTCAGATACATCTGTTAACTTCCATCATATCACTATTTTAGCAAGTATATGCCTATATTTTTCATTAAGAATTCTAACTTTATTTGGACTCATTTCTATTCTGAAGATTTATTTACTACTTATTTGAGAAGCAGAGTGACAGGGAGAGAAAGATCTTCCATCCACTGTTTCACTTCCCATTTGCCTTTCTGTAGCAGCCAGGCCAAAGCCAGGGGCCAGGATCATCATCCAGGTCTCGCATGTGGGTAGCAGGGACCCAAGTATTCAGGCCACCATCTGCTACTTTCCCAGGCACATCAGCAGGAACCTGGAAACAGAGTGGGTAGGTACGCTGAAGTGGGGACACAGGCCCCCTAACAGGTGCTTGAGCCTGCTGTGCCTCAGCACTTGCCCCTATGCTTATAGTGTGCTCTGATTTTCTAAGTCAAAAATGAAGTATAGGGGCAGGCTGTGTGACACAGCAGGTTAAGCCTCCTCTTGGGATGCCAGTATGCCAAAATCCAGCTCCTCTGCTTTCAGCCCAGCTAGCTACCCATTAATGCATCTGCGAGGTGGCAAATGCGAGTGTTTGGGGTCCTGCCAACCACACAGGAAACCCAGTGGAGCTCCTGGATCCCAACTTCAGCCCAGCTTGGTCCCTGTCATTACAGCTTGTCTGGGGAAGTGAACTAGTATGTGGGAGTGCTCTCAAACAAGAAAAAAAAAATTATAGAGTTTAGCCTACTCTTAGGTAAAGCAAACCAATTAGCAGGCACTTGATTCTGTATTTCAGCCATCATGTCATGGGAAGCAGGAAGACAATGCTTTCATTGCTCCCTCCCAGCCCCAACACACCCACAGCACCCCCACACCCATAGCACCCTTACACACAACAGCACCTCCAATATCCATAGCATCCCCCATACCATAGCACCCCTACACACACCCACAGAACCCCCAGCACACTCATAGCACCCACATACACCCATATCACTCATACACAGTACCTCCCACAAACCCACAGCATCTCCCACACCCATAGCATACTTACACACATAGAACTCAACACACCCACCGCACCCCCTAACACATAGCACCCCTACACACCCACAGCTCTCCCAACACACAGTATCTCCCCATGCACATCCACGGCACCCCCCAACACACATAGAACCCCCTCACATCCACATCCACAGCATCCCCACCACACCCATGGCACCCCGCCACACTCACAGCACCCCCTACACCCATAGCACCACTATACACACACTCACAGGACCCCCAGCACACCCATAACATCCTCCCACACCCATAGCATCCCTCCACACTCACAGCACCCCCAATACATACACAGCTCTCCGCAGACACACACCCATACTACCCCACACACACTTTGCCTCCCCAACTCTCATGCGGGTGACTATTCTGTTACAGACTGGGCAAGGGTGATCCTAAGTTTTGGGTCTAACTAGGATCAGCCTCTCCAGAAGCCCAAGGCGGTTTTGTGCCTGGATTGATGGGAGAGAATGCCCTCCTGAGAGCCTGCAGGTGAGAGAAGCAGCTGAGGAAAGGGAGCCACTTCACCCAGGAGTGCTGGAGAAGTGCTGGGGCCCGAGAGGCCCACATTAGTTCCCTTTGCATGCAGCCAGGCTGTGGCTGCTGTTGCCCCCAGCAATGGATGCTGTAGAGGGTCCCCTGGAGAAGGAGGTGGCTATGAGCTGGCACAAGTGGCCTCCTCCCCAGCACTGGCACCTTCAGCAATCCCGGACCCTTCGCAAGGCACAGCCGTCCTGAGACACCATGACCCTCCACTGGTCAGGGAGGGAAAGCAGGCAGAGGGCTCAGGACAGTCTTGGACAGCACAAGGCCGGCTGCAAGGGAAGCAGTCGGGAGAGCCAGCAGAGAACAGATGACAATGCAGATCCCCCCAGCAGGACCTGAGGGGCTCACTCAGCATACTGACAGGCAAGCTGACAGCGCCCAGGCAGCAGAGTACAGAGCCCAGTGGAGCCTGAAGGCCGGCGAGGTGCAGGACCTGGCACAGATACCCTGCAGCAGACCCTGAGCCACAGGATGGTAAGGTCAGTCTCAATGCACAGGGGTTTATTAAGTGCTGTGTGCTGTACTGGGGTGAACTATGGGGAAGACGGCCTCATGACCAGCCAACAGGGGGGCAGTGAGGGAACTGTCTGCTCACTCATGCCAGGTGGTACCCAGCAGCACCCTATCACAGATGGAGAGCACCTGGTAACATTCATCCTGGGAACAGGTGGTTTTCATGATGGGAATGCTTATGCTTAGCTGAGGGGATGCCTTGAATGCTGTAGTGTCGAAGGGAGTCTTGGCATCCTGGAAGGTGCCACCTGCTGGGAGGCTGATTCCATTCCCTAGGGTTCTGGGAACCTGGGTGGTCCTGGGCTCCTCTAGGGGATCTGGTGTGTTTGGGAGAAAAGGGTCTCCTGTCCCCATGCTGTGGGGAACCCCAGCTGTCTCGAGGTCTGAGCAGGAAAGGACCTACTGATGGGAGAAGCCAGGGGGCATGTCAGTCAGCTGCAGCCCCGAGGCCTTATTCTGCAGACAGGTACCCAAGGAGTCTGGCCTGGGAGGAGTGGCAATCCCTTGGTGGTGGGGCGGTAAGAGGCGACAGACCTGGCCCTGGCCAGGCCAGGTGGGACAGTTGGCTGTGCCCTCCGAGGGCTACTGACCTAGTCAGAGCAGGTCCTGAAGAGCCAGGGTGGGCAGCAGGGCAGACAGGAGGCTCCCTGCCAACGGCCCAGTTGCAGAAGGCACCTGTGGATGGAAACAGGCTCACTTCTCTGCATCCCGCCCACACCTCCCTCCCAGGCCCAGAAGGGCATAGAAGAAGTAGTACCGAAGCAGCCAGCCTGCCAGCCCTTCCTACCTGCATGAAGCTGGGCTTGGGATCCTGGTGGGAGTCCAGCTTCCTCTGCAGCACTGGAGACCACATTCTATCAAAAGCCCGGATGGCCCCATCTAAGAAGAGAAGGTTCCAGGGTAGGCTTGGCTGGGAAACTTAAAGGCGGGACTCAGCACCCTGGGAACAAACAGGCTGCATTCCAGGGGTAGCAGGCACAGAAAGCTGTGCTCAAAGTGACACACAAACTGTAAGCAGTCATCAGTCCTCTCAATGAAGGTGCCAAGGGGAGCAAAGACAGATGGACAGGGCTTAGGAAGTGGCAGCATCAGACTTCAAACATGAGCCCCTACATCCTGGGGACCCTAACTCTCAGACCCAAAAAGGCAAGCTCCTAAGGACAGCCGAGGGAGAGTCTGCGGGGTGGAGCTCCTCACAGGCGCACCAGTAGGTGCCTTGCTTGGCTCAATTCCAGGTCCTCAGAAGCTGGCCTGAACTCGCACACCCTCCTGCCCACGGGGCCAGCAGCCTCGACGCCCCTAGGATTCTCCTGTGGGTCTGCGCCAACCAGGACAGTGAAGACCACTGGGCACAAGTCCCCGGGAAGCCCTTGGAAGCAAGGCAACAGCACAGGGGGGCAGGGTGCCTGTGTGGTGGCCACAATCGGCCTCATTCCTCTCCTGTAGAATGGACTCCCCCTGCCCGGGCGTCTCAGCCCTCACCGAGGCAGGGGTTCCTTGTGAACAGCCCCCGGAAGGCTTCGCAGTCCTCACGTCGGTTTCCGCTGGCGCCACAGTCGCACCAGGGTGCCACTCGGGCACTCGAATTGTCCACGTAGTTGGGGGTCACGGCAGTGCCTATGAGGATCCCAAGGGCAGGGTCAAGGGGCCTCGCCGACAGGAGGAGGCGTCCCTGGGAGAGCCCGGCCCCGCCTCGCAGCCCTCCGTACTTACCCACTAGGCCGGCATAGGCACGCAGGCAGCGGGCCCCTTGGCCACGCAGACAGCCATCGGGGGCTCCGGGGGCGGGGACGCAGGAGGCCTGGAAGGCGAGGAGGCGAGGCCTGCGCAGCGGAGGGAGGGCGTGAGCGGCCCTGGCCTCGTCGTGCCCCGCACGCGCCCCGCGCCTGCCCCGCGGCACGCACCTGCAGACACGGCTGCGCTCGCAGGCGTCGCGGGGCTCGAGGCAGGAGGGCGGGGCCGCACCGGGCCTGGAGAAGGCGCACGTGGGCACGAAGGTCTGACGCCGGCGTTCGGCGCACGTCGGGCTCGCGCACGGGCAGAAGAGCAGAGCCAGGGTGTGCGCCGGCGGCCCACGGGCGAAGAAGAGGCGTAGGGCGCGGCGGCAGCGGCTGCGGGGACAGCCGCCCTCCGCGGCGCGGCCCAGGCACTGCGCCACGTACTGAGCGCGGAGCTGCTGGCAGCGCGAGTCCGCCGTGCAGGCCTCGGCCGCGTCCACGCATCGGTTCCCCGCGGCCCAGCTAGCCGAGCCTGCGGGAGGGGCGTGCGGGCTGTGACTCGCCTTGCAGCCGGGCACCCTCCCGCGGCTTCCCCCCAGGGGGCACAGGGACTTGGCCGCAGGACTCGCGGGCCTTCAGGTCCTGGGGACACTCCAGGGGTGGAAGGGGACCTAGAGGCCGGGTCTGCAGGAAGCACCTCCTCGCCCCCTCACCCCTGGAACTGCCACGTGCGGCCTAAGAGGGGCGCGTGGGAGTTCCTCCGACCCCCACAGCCTTGACGGGATCTGGTTAAGAACTTCTCAGAAATGGCTCCGGGGAGCGCGGCCGCTCCTCCCGTGTCCTACTCTTCTGCCCCTTGCGCAGGGAGATGCTCTGACTGGCTTTGTAGATTTCTGGCTCTCTCCCTTCCCGACCTTCTGGTATCCCCTCCCTGTTCTTTCCTGACTCGCTCGTTGCTTCGCACCAGGCAGAGGAAGGCCGGGGGTCCCCAGCAAGGGCTCTGGCCTAGTGGAGAGCCTGTTCAGGGCTGGCCTCAGCGTACAGATTCAGAAAAGTCCCTGCACAAGGGCCACAGGGTCTTGTCCCAAGCTGCAGGGTGGGAGGGAAGGTGCTGGGCTGGGCGCAAGGGGCAGGTGGATGGAGGGCGGGCTCAGTCACTGACCAGGTGAAACCTAGCCCTGCCAGAGCGCGTGGAAGTGAGGACTTCCCAGACTCCTCACAGGAGCTGGGTCACCCACCCCAATCTTGCTCCGGGCTCCCAGCCTTGGGGAGCGCCTCACTCTATCCAGAAGCCTTTGTGGCATCCCAGTCGGAGTGGGGGAACCCAACCTGGTGGGGGTGGTGGGGACAGGCTCCTGTCTAGGGGCAGCATGGGCACCTCTGTGGGGCAGTGGTGGTTCTTGCTACAGCTTCAGCCCCTGCCACTCCCACCTAGGGAAAAGTTCCTGGGGCAGTAAACCAAGGCCAGGCTTGGGGAGGGTGGCAGGGTAGCCTGATGTCCCTGGTCACTGGCATCTGTTACTGGCAGCTTTTCCTAGATCCCAGCCTTTTCTGGAATCTCCTTCTTGCCTCCCCCCCTCCCACACACCAGGCCCAGAGGAGTGGGGACAGAGGCCAGGGATCAGGGTGCCAGGCTTACCCAGCAGCAGCAGCAGCAGCAGCAGCAATAGTGTAGGCCCCAAGCAGTGGGCCATGCCAGGCAGTGAGGAGGCCAAGGAACAGGTGTCCCCTTCCTAGTGTGTCCTGAGCAGGATGGCAGTGGAAATCCAGCTGCTGTCTGTGTGCAGGGAGGGTTCCTCCAACAGGCACCTGCGCTGTAGGAACAAGTCCCCGCCCCTAGTCTCCGCCCCAAGCTGTCAGAGCCAGAGCTCTGGGCACCTGCCTGATGCTGCCGGGGGACAGTGCCCCTGCAGCTACCAGGAGCACCTCTGCGGAAGGGGAGTGGGGAGGGGCAGGAACTCAGCCCAGGTCAGAAGCTGTCCCAGAGGAAGGCAATGCCATGGAAGAGTCCAGGCAACAGACAAGAAGACCTGACCATATCCTGGTTCTGCTGGCCCACTCGTTCTCTTTGCATGAATGTCCTACACTCTTTCTTGGGCTCCAGCTCCACTCTTTGAACTGCTTTGTCTGCCCATTCACCAGCTCCAAACCTTTATCCACTCCCCACCTCCCCCCCAGGACATCAAAGCTAACCCAGTCCTCTGAGATCTGGCCTTCCTGGGTCTCCTGTGTTCACTGCCCAACTCCTTAATCCAGGATACCATCCGGGCGCAGATCCTAAGAACCACCACGAGGCGGCGCCACTTGCCTCCCGGCTCCTGCTGCGGTTGGTACTTGCTGCTGAGGAGGCTGACCCTGCCTCAACAGCTTCCAGGGCATCACAAGGGCTTTCCTGCAGCGCACACTCCAGGGCTCTCTCCACCCCAGGCAGCCTCTCTCTGGGGACCCCCGTTGGTCCTGCTGCCCGACACCCCTCCACACGGATCCCCAGCCTGGGACTTTTTGGTTTTTGTGTAACTCCATCAGGAGCTCCTGGCCATCAGCCCTGCATCAGGGGTCGCGACCTGGTCGAGAAGGGGCGTGGGGCTGAGGTGGGTGGGGGCCGTCAGGCCTGCTGCCTGCAGGGAGCTAGAGGGATGTAGAGTTCAAGGGCGGACCCTGGCCCCATGGAGGGTGAGTGCATGCCAGGGTGTGTGCTGTTACCAACAGCTGCCTGCTCCCCAAGTTCCCGAGACCAGGGCTCCCTGTTTGGCTGTGGTCCTGGGCCCTGCTTCCTCTTTCAGACCAGGAAGGAGCACGAGAACAAGCAGGGGGAGGTGGCAGGTCCAAGAGGACATTTCGTGGGGGCAGCATGGGGGCCTCCCTGCTGTCTGGGGGCGAGCATCCAGCACAGTCCAGACCGAGCCCCTCCCGGCGCAGTGCTGGCGGCCCTGCCCATCCACTGTGGTCGTCCCTGGCTGCCAGTGGGCCCATGCCACATCTGCCTGCTGGGTGCCAGGAGGGCGGACTGAGTCCGCAGTCTTCCTCCATGCCTTTCTCACACTGTGAGGTCTCTCCTGAGCCTCGCTGGGGACTTGCAGCTCCCTGGGCTGGGGCCCTGGCTGGGACTTGGTAGGGAAGCAAGAGCTCCCACCTGCATAGTGGAGAGCGGTCGGCACCCCAGCTGTGTTGCATCCAACCCCAGCCTCTCCCCAAGTAATGCAGCTCAGACAACTCTGCTAAGCAGCAACGTTTACTGAGGAGGCAGGTAAACAGACCAACTGACAGGGGTCAGCTCTCCTTTCCTTCAGTGACTCCAAGGTGAGAGCAAGATGGGTTTTTATAGAAAGAGCGAGTTAGATAGCCACAGGTGCCAGGTGAGTAGGGCAGCCTCAGGAGGCTGCCATGGGGACAGTGGGTGGGCAATGGGTGGGCCATAGCAACTGCAGGAGGCTCCCTGGGGACAGTGGGTGGACAATGGGTGGGCCATAGCAGCTGCAGGAGACTCCCTGGGGACAGTGGGTGGACAATGGGTGGGCCATAGCAGCTGCAGGAGGCTCCCCTGGGGACAGTGGGTGGGCAATGGGTGGGCCATAGCAGCCAGGCTGTGTTACTCCTTGTAATCTGACCCCCAAAGCAGGAAACTAGCAAAGCCTTTTGTACAGAAGCTTAAAGAGCAGGTTAGCAGGTTATGCAGGCCTGAACCCAAGTGACTCCATTTTGTGACTGGATTTTACACTGGGTCTCTTGCAGCTGCACCTGGCCAGCACACTGGCCCCAGGGCACACAGTCAGGCAAGCCCAAGTCGGGTTTGGGGCTGGGAGGTGGGCAATGAATGGGCGTTCAACTCCCAGGTTAAACATCCTTTATTCTTTTAAAAATAGATTTTTTGTTTGTTTGAAAGGCAGTTATAGAGAAGGAGAGACACATATCTACACATCCGCTGGCTCACTCCCCACATGACCACAATGACCAAAGTTGAGTGGTTTGAAGCCGGGAGCTTCTTCCAGGTCTCCCATTTGGCTGCAGGGTCCAAGGGCTTATCCCATCCTCCACTGCCTTCTCAGGCCATAAGCAGGGAGCTGGATCAGAAGTGGAACAGCTGGGACTGAAACCGACACCCATATGGAATCCCAGTGCCATAGGCTGGAGGCTTACCCCACTACACCATGGTGACAACATACCTCCCCCCATACTTTATAAACATTTTCCTTGGATGGCATTGTTTTCAGAGTTGGGGGTATTGTTGCTCTTGCACTTGTTACTGTCATTGTTATATGAGGCGTCACCTTGAGGAAGCCGTGGTTTACATACAAGGAGGTATTTTTACTTAAAATGGACAGTTTGAGCCCTGAGAACTGCACACCAGTGAGGACCACAGTCGAGATACAGTGTTTCATGGGAGTCCCACAGCAAGAACCCGGGTTCAATTCCCCAATACTGAGGATTGATGAGGACGAGAGGAGGAGGGGAAGGAGGAGGAAGAAGAGAATGGAGTAGGACAGAGGACAGGAAGGGAGACCATGGTGTCCCAGAAGGAGACATGCTGGTGAGAGTGTCACTCAGAACACGGCTGCTCCCCTGCTGTCCCCAGGACTCAGCTGAAGGAGTGACCGAGAACCAAGAGTCACCTGAGACCCGCCAAGCTGGCCTGGGCGGCACCTGCAGATGGCAGGTTAATCTCCGTGTATGAACAGAGAGACCTGGAGTCAGGCATCGATTCACGGGCCCCATGGACTGTCCCTGGGCAAGGTGAAGGGGCTGCTTTTAAGACCAAAACTCCCCAGCCTTAGGCACCTGCCTAGGTTGCCTTATACCTTAACAAGTGTTACGCTGCTGGGAGAAAAGCAGCCAATAGCTGGCAGGTTTTCTGGATCTGACTAATGCCAAATTTGTATTAACTATTCCAGCATGCCAGTATAGTGGCTTATTCCTTCTTTTTTTTTTTTTAAATATATAAGAGGAGAAGGTGGGGAACTTTGCCCCAGGACATACCACCCCGGCTCCCAGGCAGTGGGTGGCTGCAGATTGCCTTGGGAAGGGGATCTGGAGATTTTTTTTAATGGAAGCAGCTGAGAGTGTGTTTGACAGGGGAGAAATGACTTTTGGGGTCTTCCATCGACCTGGCCACTGCACATGCAGGTAGGTGAGGCAGCTGAGACAGTGGTTTAGACAGGGGGAATCTAGGGGACATGGTGTGGGTCAGGCCAAAGCAACCAGCCCACATGGGAGACCTGGGCTGTGCTAAACAGCATCATCTGCTACCCATTGGTGCTTGCTAAAGCTGGGGCTGGGGGACAGGCGTGGCTGGGCTAGGCTGCAGTACCCACCCATGAGTGTTTGAGCAACGGGTGGGCCACATCAGGCTTGGCCACAATACCCAATAAAATCTGAGAGAACTGGATCTGGGAACAGATTCTGTAGGGTAACTGTGGGTTTGCTTCTGTGGAACTGCTGGTTTACATGCAGAGATGTGGGTAGTGATGGACCAAGCCTGGCTGGACCATGAAATTCACCTGACAGTAACTCACCTGACATTCAATGGAGTTAGGGCTGGGAGAAGGTTGGGTGTGGCTAGGCTGCAGCACCTGCCAGTGCATGCAAGGGCTGAGACTGAGGGAAGGTTGTGCCAAACAGGCTGGAGCTAGGAGTGGGCTAGGCTGAGCGAGGCTGCTGTACCAGCTAGTGAGAGCTGGGACTAGGGGTGGGCCATCTCAGGCGGGCTATAGAGGTGTGGGTGGATGGGGTTTCCCAGAGGGTGGGCAATGGCCTTAGACAGTTGCTGTCTCAGGTGATAGGAGTCAGCCCCCTCTGTCCATTTTCCCAATGGAGCCTTAGGCTTTTCAACTCCTGTTCTTTTTCATGCCTCCCTCCTTTCTGCATTCCTTCATTACTTTTCTTCTGAATTTGTTCTATGCCTTGAAACCCTGCTACATACCGCATGATCTCAATGCCTTATGGTTTCCTAACCATTGTATTGCAATGATCTCATTTACATCCTGGGTGATAGCAGCTGGTGTGGGTCACCCAAGGACACCCAAGGATCACCATGAAGGCAGCTGTGTGCTGACATCAGTGGTGGAGGTGGAGGGGGGTGCCTGTAGCTTCTTCCAGCAGCAGGCCTGTTCTCTGTTGCTCTCTCTCTAACTCTTCAAAATAAACACATTTTTGTAAAAATTCAAATTTGGATTTAAAAAATCTTAAAAGCAATAAAAACAAACAAAAAAATCCCAACACTTTATTTTCATCTTAAGCATTCGCGTGGCTTCTCAGATAAGAAACGAAGAAAGCCGGAAGGCATCGTCATGAGCTTTCTAAGTGATGAAGGGAACTGACCATCGGATTGAATTTCCTAGCCAGCTGAAATATCTCTCCGAAATGCATGCACAGCTGGAGGTGGCATGGTGCAACAGCAGGAGCGGGTTCATGTTCCATCTGCGATGCTGGTATCCCATGCTGGAATGTCAACTGTTCTGCTCCACTTTTGAGCCAGGTCCCTGCTAATGTGTTTTAATAGCAAAGTCAGATATACAGAGAGGAGGAGAGACAGAGAGGAAGATCTTCCATCAGATGATTTACTCCCCAAGTTGCTGCAACGACCGGACCTAAGCCAATCCAAAGCCAGGAGTCAGGAACCTCCTCCAGCTCTCCCACGCAGGGGTAGGAACCCAAGGCTTTGGGCCACCCTCGACTGCTTTCCCAGGCCACAAGCAGGGAGCTGGATGGGAAGTGGGGCTGCCGGGATTAGAACCAGTGCCCATATGGGATTCCCAGTGTTTTCAAGGCGAGGACTTTAGCCACTAGGCCACCGTGCTGGGCCCTTTCACTTTATGTTTTTATAACCAATTAAAAGTCATAGATTTTTTTTCCCCACTGGTTCTGCTACATTTGTGTTTCTAATTTTATTTATTTATTTTTTAAGTGAAAGGCAGAGAGAGGAGTTCAGTCTCTAATTGTCTGCAACTGCTGGGACAGGATCCGGTGGCAGGAAGTCCATCAGGGTCTCTCACTTATGTGGTAGGGACTCTACTGGATCCATCATCTGACACCTCCCAGAGTGTGTGTTGGCAGGAAGCTGGCATCAGGAGTGGGGCCCAGCATCCCAGTATGACGATAGGCACCCCAAGTTACGGTCTCGGCTCTGTGCCCATCTCGTGCTGCACCTGTTTGTTGCTTTAGAGCCTCCCGAGTGACTGGCAGTTGCAGGTTTGCTGTTGTTCTAAAGCAGTTGTGATTTCTATTTTCACTACAGAAACGTGGCCAATTCTGAGAATGCCCTTATCCGGTCCTTGGGTGGAGAAAAGGGCAGTGCAAGATTTCTCCCAGTGAGAGGAGCTGGTGGAGACAGGCAGAGGCCTCACTTCAGAACGTCACATAGTCCACCCGCATCTCCTGACACACTCGTGTACTGGGTTGAGACTATGGGATGCTGAGGTGAGGGGAACATTGCTTTGCGTGTTGGACTTCACAAGTGAAACGGAGACTCTTCAAACGGGGGAGATGACCCAGCATTATCTGAGAGGGCCCGATGCCAATGCAAAGATGGATATGTGAGCATGGGGACAACAGAGGCAGTTCACTACACGGGCAGACGACGGCCCTTGTGGTAGGATATAACTAGGCAATTCCTATGGGTTCAAGTGCACTGGAATTTTCATGTCCCCGTGAAGTGACGTTTGGTTCACGTGTCAGCCTGATGTACCACCGTAACCTGTCTCATCCGAGACCAGGGCCTGTGTGACGACCTCAGGCTGTGTGTACTTCCTGTGCAGGATGGCACCCCCACCCCCTTCTCATGAAAAGAGGTGGAGGATGAGGTAGACATGGCTCTCATTTTCTGTTTCATGGGAAACTCTCTGGCCCACTCATGATGGTGTTTCTCTGTGGGGGGTGCTTATGCTCTCCCTTTGAAATAAATCCTGTTCCTCTCTGTGCATATCAGAAAACCTCTGCTTTGCATTCTGGTCTCGAAACAAGAACCTGGATTGGAAATGACTATATTGTCCACATCTCAGGGATCCAACCTTAACCACTGTGGGGTGTTATAGTTTTGTGGGTCAGGGACATTATATAAATGTTGTGTCTTGTTGCTTTTATGTTACCCAGGCAGAGCTGAGTAACTTTCAGAACCGTGGGGGCTACAAAGCATCAAGTATGATTTATCTGCCTTTGTACAGAGAACATTTGTCAGTCCTTGCTCTCTGACGCAGAATGCTCAGACAAGGTTATCGAAGAGTTCCAATGAAGCCAGATAGAATGCTTAAGGAGATAAGGGAAGGCCTGGGTTAAAAAAACCATGCAGAAAGTTAGCAACAAGAAGCAGGGTGGGCGGGGAGGGGAGATATCTGGGTATCAAAAGTGTGATGATTAAGAGAAACTGCAAGGGAGGGAGAAGCAGAGCAGAGGAATGGGTCAAGGAGCCAAGATGGAGAGAGGAAGTGAGGTGGACGACCTGCCTGAGCATGGTTTTCACAGAAGGGATCAGGAGAAAGGAAAGAGAGAAACCAGATGATAGAAGGGCAGGAGAGGACATGGGGGCCTCTGTGTAGGTGTCACTGCTAAAGAAAAACTTATTCACAGGGCTGTTGTGGGACGGCACGCTCAACCACTGCCCGTGATGTCGGCGACCCATATGAGTAGCAGTTTAAGTTCTGGCTGCTCTACTTCTGATCCAACTCCTTGCTAATTACCTGGGAAGGCAGAGGAAGTCGGCCCAAGCAGCTTGAGCCTCTACCACCTGCGGGGGAAGATCCGGATGGAGTCCCAGGCTCCTGGCTTCTGCCTGGGCCAACCCTGGCTGTTGTGGCCATTTGGGAAGTGATCAGAGGATAGATTTCTTTGTTTCCCTCTCTGTAATTCTGGCTTTCAAGTAAATAAAGGTTATTTATGACACTGGTCTGGAAGGGAAGGCTAACTTTACTCGTTGAGAAAGCTAAGGGAATCACTGTGATGGGGTTGTGGAGAGACCCGCCTCCACCCCCCACCCCCCACCAGGGTCAATTCTAAGAACAACAAGGAAAAGCAGACAATTGGAGGCAGGTGTCAGGAGAGGAGTGGGAGGGTGGGGACTGGCTAGGCAGAAAGCCCCAGTGCTGAGGAACTCTGTTTGCAGGGACCCGGCAAGATCGTTACAGAAGACAGATCAGGTTGATCAGACAGGTCATGATGGAGGGACAGCGGAAAGGGGCCCCACTGACCTGACACCTCCTGGAATTAGAAATGTAGGGATGAAATCAGAAGCCCAAAGCTGTGGCCAGGGTACTAGAGTCTGGCGCAAGAGATCATTTCAGAGAACAGGAGCCCCCAGATTAAGTATCTCTTTTTTCTAGGTATTGAAGGAATGGATGTTTAACATGGAATATGCGGCACATGCAAGTAGAAGGAGAGTTAAGAAGTAAATTTTTTTTTCTCACATCCAAGCAAAGCCATGGTTTACTCACTCCACATTTAGCGGTGTGTTCTCTGTGCCTGGCCTGCTTGAGGCTCTGGTGGTGTTACCCAAAGCTCAGTGCCGAATCAAAACCCAGAGGACAAGGTGTGAGGGTCTAGGAAAAAGCTAATCCATTGACGGGTGAGGGGCAGCAGACCCGTGAGTCTGAAGAACCCTTGCCTTGCTCAGTGAGGACAGAGCTGGTTTAGAAGGCAGCAGAGCAGGCTGTTTCTCTGCTAAGAGAAATCTCGGACGTGGGAGACTCGCTTGGCGGTCACACCCGACCACCAGGAGGATGTATTCTGCAAGACTCAGCAGCTACAAAATGCCATTTGACTAAAAAGGGGAAATTGTTGAGAGAGCTCATGGTTGCACTAATAAGGGTGGACACTCTCCTTCAGTCACAGCAGGGGAGTGCCCCGCTTCGCTCTTTTCACAGTAGACATTTCTGTGAACTTTTTAAAAGATGCTCTTTATGGGAGTCAAGAGTTCATCATGTCTGTACTTCAGGGAACGTGCTGAGTGAGGACTGGGTTATTTCACTGAAAAGCAGAACCTCTGAGAATCCAGGGGGTGTACACCCCTCTTCCCTCCAGGGATTCAGACCCAGGCTTCAAGATGGACTGGCTGACAAAGGCTCAAGCTGATGGAGTCCAGAGCCAGACATTCCAGAAGTCGGGGCTCCTGGCACCCGTGGGAAGAAGTCCCAGAGGGCAGAGTGGGGTAGGATGGGGTGATTGTCTGTGGAGTTTGTTCTCAGCATGGCTGGGGGCCCAGAACCAGATGCCAGCTGGTGAGAGGTGCCCACCCTCAGGGTCACAAGTGCTGGGTTACATCACAAAGTATGTGCTCCCTGAAGGCGTGGACTCTGAAAGTTCAGACAAGATCAGAGATCAGAACCCACAGAGCTCAGGCACGAACTCAAAGGGCTGGAACTTCAGGTGAAGCCAAGACTGGCGTGGCCAATTCAGAGCCCAGCTTCGCCAGTGTGGGGGGTGGGCGCAAGGAGAAGGAAGGAGCCCAGCAGGTTGGGCAGGTTGGGAAGCTTACAGTAGGCTGGGACCAGGAAACTCCATTGGAGCAGGTGCAGCTAGAGCACAAAGAAAGGGAAGGCGCGGCACGGGAGGGTGGCTATCCCTGTAGGAAGGAGGTGACCAGGGAAGCTGACCCTTTAGCTCTGCCTAGGATCCAGCTGAACCAACACAGAGAGCAGGCATCCCGCAGCAGCAGCAGCAGCAGCAGCGACGTCCATCTTTGCCAGCTCCCGCTTGAGACTGAAGTGCCTCCTGACCAGTGCCTCCTGACCAGTGCCTCCTGACCGAAGGACCATGATCAGACCTGGGCAGCTCTCCCTGCTCCTCCTGGCCCTTTCGCTGGCTCTGGTCGCCAGTGCAGAGCACACTGGCAACGAGGTGAAGGTGTTGAGAATGTTAAAACCTGTCAACACCACGAACGCCAATGTGAGACAGAGTGTGTGGTTCGCCATGCAAGAATACAACAGGGAGAGTGAGGACAAGTATATTTTCCTAGTGGCCAAGATTCTGCAAGCCCAGCTACAGGTAAGGGGGTTGCCCAGCAGAGAACCAGGGCTGTGCATGGGTGAGGCCAGCCTGAGGGGGTGAGCAGGTGAGAAAAACACCCATGAGCCTGAAAGCTTCAGGAGCACTCACTTCCATGCTGCACCTGCAGCAACGGTAGCACAAGCAGCATTGTCTGTGAATGCTTGAGTCATCAAAGCACCTCACACACACGCAGGACCTTTGCAAAGCTCCTGGGAGATGGGATGCATGGAATTTGAATGTGTGTTTGGTTACAAGATCAATTTGGTTTTAATTCCATTTATCCACAAGCTTTCCAAAGTGCTTTTCTTTTTAATTTTATTTATTTATACTCACACACATATTTGTTTGGAAGCAAAGTTACACAATGTGCAAGGGAGGAGGAAGGTGGAGAGAGATTTCATCTGCTGGTTCGCTCCCCAAATGGCCACAATAGCCGGCACCGAGCCTAGCTGAAGCCATGAGCCAGAAATTCCATTCAGGTCTTCCAAGTAAGTGGCAGGGAGCATAAGCACTTAGGTTGCTTTCTCGGGCACCTTTGCAGGGAGCTGGATAGGAAGTGGAGCAGCAGGGATTCGAACTTGTGTTCATGTGGCACACACAGCTATAAATGGAGGCTTAATTCCCTGAGTCACAACACCAACCCTGGATGGTCACTTCTTGATGTTTCTTAGCCAATTTCTCTGCTCCATACAAACCAGAGCTACCTCTGCTGATTCTTGAGAACATAGCTCAAATCCAATACAACTTCACAGAGACTTGGAGACTCAAAGGGGAGTGGGCACGATGTGACTGAGAGGCTGTGCCCCCGGAGGATGAAGACAAGGTTTTGATGATGCCAATGTCTGCTCCCGCCTCTCCTTGCCCTGTTTCTCGGAGAATGTAGCAAACCGTGAACTTTGGAGACAGAAATGGGATTAGAAGGATGAACTTCAAGGTGCCCCCAAATGGAAAGGAGCCTTTCCCCACCCCCACCCCACAGGTTATGGGACAGTGGTTGTAACCCTTCCCCAAAAGTTATATCTGGATTGGGGAGGAGTGAGGAAGGCATGAATGAGCAGGGCAGGAGGGATTTTCACACTTGGCAACGCTGTTGAAAATAAAATCTGGCAGTTTGGGATGAATCAGCATGATTGCTTGATGACAGATCACGAACCGCTTGGAGTATGACATCGACGTGGAAATTGCCCGCAGCAACTGCCAAAAGCCCGTCAGTGAGGATGAAAGCTGCGTGTTTGCAGAGGACCCCAACCTGGAAAAGGTAAGCCATGCACCTGCTATCTGCTTCAGCCACGCAGCCTCGAACCCTAACCCTAACACCGACTGGGGAGTGATCCAGACCTCCCTGGGGGCGGGGCTGGAGGAGCGTGGGTACCCACGCCCTTTGTTGGAGCTCTGGTGGAATCATCCCTCTCTGGAGTTTGGGTGTAGGAAACCTTGCCAGCACCTGACCACTGAGTGTGTATCCTCTTGGGTCCCGTTTCTCAAGAAGACATGCATTCATTTGTTCACTAATTCCTCCACACCACTCAGGAGCATGCTGCTCAAGGGAGCTGCTTTGTTTGGGTGCTGGAAATGAAGCAAAGACTTGACTAGATGCTGTCCTTGCCCTCCGGGGTTCACTAGAGCATCCCTGAGGGCAGGAGACCAACACTGAAAGGCAGACTCATCCCTGGGGCTTTGGGCTTGAGTTTTACAATTCTTGGTCTTTTGGGGGAGGTCTTTGAGTGGGAGACTTGAGGCAAGCCCATGGTGTGCTGCAGGCTTCCCAGCAAGCGTGCCTTGGGTGCTCCTTGCTGCCGGTGATTCTTCATGTTGAACAGGCATCAGGATCAACTGGAGACCTTCACAAACTCACAAGGCTGGGCCTCGAGTGATGCTATTGCTGATCTTGGGACCACATTTTTTAAAAAAGATTATTTATTTATTTGAAACCCAGATTGGCAGAGAGAGAGGGAGAGCAAGACACACACACACACACACACACACACACACACACACACACACACACACACACTCTGAGCTCTTCCATCTGCTGGCTCACTCTCCAGATGGTTGAAATGGCCACGATTATGCTGAGTTGAAGCCAGGAGCCAAGAGCCTCATCTAGGTCTCCCATGTGGTCACAAGCAGAATGCTGGAAAGGAAGTGGAGCAGCCAGGAATGAACTGACACCAATATAGGATCTCAATGCATGCAAAATGAGGATTTAACCGCTAGGCTATCATGCTGGGCCTTAGGCATATGTTTCTAGGCCTACATTTGTATTGAAAAAAAAAATGTCATTCTAAGCTTTTGAAATTCAGCTCTAAAGAGTAATCAGACTGGACTCTTTTTCTTATTCTTTAATTTTAAAAAAAAGATTTTGTCCATTTTTATTGGAAAGTCAGATTTACAGAGAGAAAGAGAAATAGAGAATAAGATCTTCCACCCACTAATTGTTCACTCCCCAAGTGGCCACAATGGCTGGAGCTGAACTGATCTGAAGCCAGGAGCCAGGAGGCAAGGACTTTAGCCACTAGGCTGTCTCACCAGGCCTGTTTCGTTATTATGCCAAATGCTGATTTTTGAAATTTCTTCAATTCTCTTGAACCAGGACTTACTTTTCAAATTAATGTGATTTGTTATCAAATATTTTCTTGGTGCCCATTAATGGTATTTAATATTTCTTTGACCTGTCCCTGTAATCAGGTAGGAGATTCCCCTAACGCTGTGTCTTAGAGTGTGCTGAACTTGCCCTTGTTGGGGTGTGTGTATGGCAGGTAGTAACTGCCCGTGGTCAGTTTCACGCACGTCAGCTATCTAGGATTTGATAGTTGGAACAAGCACACAGGTCCCCAGGACTGGAGCTTACCTAGAGAATCATCCCCTTCATTGCAACCCACATGAGTACAGAGGTGACACTGCTCGCTTCCCTTGGCCCTGACAGTTTTGTTCCACCTGCTGTTTGCACACATGGGCCCTGCTGTTCCCGGGTGCTCTGAGGACCCAAGGGACACACTTCCAGATGAGGCCACCCCAAGAGGGCACTTGTGGTTCTGATCACCGCTCTGCTCTGCACAGGCAGCCTAGCTGCGCAGGATTGGGATGCAGGCATGCGAAAGATCATGTCTGCACTTGTCATGGAGGATACAGTGGGTGTCAATGCACCATTTTTTTTAAATTAGGAATTCTGCTTCTGTGTATCTGAAGCAGTTCCTTATTTGCAGCTTTGCAAGTATATGAAAAATGAAGTTTATGTTGACTCTTAGGCTGAAAGGCCAAACGAGTTAACACCCACCTGCTGTGTCTCCCTGTGGTTTGTGTGAACAGAAGTGCCTCCGGAGAACTGCTGATGGCCATAAGGGCTGTAGGCTTCGGCTCTGAAGCCTCCTGGAAGCTCTTCTTGGTGGCTGGTGATGCATCTTCCAGAATATTCTTCATGCAACATCTAGCCTTGGGGAAATTTTTTTCCTTGTCCTTTCCCCCTCAGCCCTAAACAGGGATCCATTGCTGATTTTCATTTCATCTCTTGCAGAAATTAGTATGCAACTTCTGGGTAGGAACACTTCCCTGGAATGGTGAGTTCACCTTGTTGAAGAAACACTGCAGGGACGAGTGACAAATGGTGCTGGGAGCATCCCTCCATCTGAGCCGGCTGCTTTCGCAGTGAAAAAGGAGCAATAAAAGGCACGAAGCTGCCACCCACACACTTTTCACCAGCCTGCTTCTTGTTTCTAAGTTCTAGTTCTTCATTCCGAGCGCCAGGGGGCTCGCTCAGCATTGGCAAGCTTGCTGATCCACCCTCGGGGATGTCACAGAATCACAGAATCCAACACACAGAACAGTGTGAGGTCAGAGTCCCTTTCCCTGGCAAACCAGAGTAGGGAGCCTTAGTGACTGAGAGGGTCTCGTGCAGAGGCTAAGCCCAGGGGGCAGCTGTTCAACAGGTTCTCCCAGATGCTTCTTTGGGTCTGTGGCTCCCTCCTGTCTGAGTTTTCCAAGTGGGGAGACAGACTAGTTCCTGTGACAGAGCCAGTTGCCCCCTGCTGTGTTCTCCCTGTGAACTGAAATATTTGTGTTTCTTCTTACATGATAGTCACAGAGAGAGGGGTGAGAGCCTGAAGGGTGAACTGCATTGTGTGCATGTGTCTGGGTGTGCGCATGCTTGCATGTGTAGGTGCACATGAGTCTGGTGTATACACGCACGTGTGTGTAGGTATGCACATGAATGTGTCTGTATGTAAGTGCCGGCATGTTATACGCATGTGTGTACCTGTGTCTGAACACATGTAATGCAAGAGTGTGTGTGCATATGGGACTGTCATGCGTGTGTGTGCGCTATCTGAGCATGCTCAAGCATGAGTGTGTGTGTCAGTGTGTTTTTGTGTGTGTGACTGTGTGTATGTATGCATATATGCATAAGCATGTCATACGTACAGGTGTATGTATCTGAGCAGGTGTATTCTTGAATGCGTGCGTGTGTCTGCGCATGTTCATATGGGAATGTGTGTGCCTGTGGCAGTGTGTTTACATGTGTCTAAGAGTGTGTATATGTCGGAGTAAGCATGACATGTGTATGTGTGTGTGCCTTCTAGGTATGCTGGGACAACCGGAATATGAGCCCCTGAAATATTTGTGGAATATAGCATTAGAAAGAAAGTTTACTTTAATCCATTTTTTTAATCCATGCATACTGTTTTTCATAATATTGTTTCCATGATCCTTTTAAGAAATAGAACCAGCAGTTCCCTGTCCCAGCCTTAGCTCTGCCCTCCGCCAAGCCAGCACAGAGAATGAGGTCACCTAGGATGGCTTGCTCAGAAGACATAAGAATCCTGAACCCAGATACACCCCAACTCTCGGCACCTGCTCAGTGTCGTAGCTGGAGCAGCCCCAGCAGGCAGGGCTGGGAAAGGAAGGACTCACAGATGGCATGCTTGACCCACGGGTGCCTGGGCTGGTGTATACCCAGGATACCTACCACCCAGACCTGGCCAGGTTTGAAAGGTTGAAAAATTGATTCCTAGAAGAATGGGTTCTGTAAACACGAATTAGTCACGCACTGAAGAGACACCCAGACAGGGAGGAGGAGGAAGATAAAAGGCCAGGTGTCCAGCTGCTCAGCCAGGGGAGAAGCAGCCCACAGCCCAGGAGCCTCCCCAGGTGTGGGCAGCTCTTCCTTCCTCCTTTCCTTTCTTCTGCTGCATGCCTCAGGGAGGTGTAGGCTGTGTCTCACCCCCTATTTTGTCTCACAACCGGACTTCTCCCACTAACACCTCCAAAAGGCTTACACCTACCACGTTTTCTATTCCTGTAACCCTCTCCACTCTGGTGTGGGAGCCAAGTGCAAGTGCATGGGTCAGTCCAGGCACGGAGTCTTTGCTCCCTTGTCCCCTCGGTCTCGGCTCCATCACCATCCCCCTCCCCACGAATAAATAAACAGACCTGAAGAAGCCTGTGACTTGGCTGTTGTGTCTGTACTTTTTTTGGAGTTTATCCTAGTGACAAAGTGTATATGCACTGCAAGGTACACATACAGTGACTGTGATATGGCTGACAACTACAACAGACATAGAAATGACAACTGTCACTCAGAACAGGGGTGGGGGTAAGCCAGTTGTGGAACGTTATTCACAGGTGGAAAAGGTCCTCTTCGTGCGACCAGGATGGAGAATGGGAGGGAGAAGGGCAGACAATAAACCAATGAGCAAACCAGTAGGACAGTTTCATAAATATATATATATATAACACATATATATGTATATATATATATATCTTATTTATCTGAAAGAGTTATGGAGAAAGAGCAAGACACAGAGGTCTTGCATCCTGGCTCACTCCCCTAAGTGCTGCAAATGCGAGGTTGGGCCAGGCTGAGGCCAGGATCCAGGAGCTTACTTCAGGTCTCGCACATGGGTGCTTGGTCTCAGCATTGGCACCACCTGTGGCCGCATTCACAGGCACATTAGCCAGGAGTCGATGAGAAGCATGGCAAGCAGGACTAGAGCTGGCTCCCCAGGGATCGAGGGCCAGCTTTATCCACTACACCGCAGTGCCACCTCTTCCATGTTTGATTTTAAAATATGGAATTTTGACTTTTATGTAACATTAATTATATTAACTGCAGAATTAACTTAAAAGACAAAAATCCCATGTAGTCGCCACCCTTAGGCACAAGCTGGGGGATCATTCAGAATATCCACTTTGTTTTCTTTGAGCAGCAACTTCCTATTGAGTTCATGTCCCTTTGGGCTTTAAGCTGATCCTTGTGGATGGGCCGGCTCATGTCCTGCTGCTTCACTTCCCATCCAGCTCCCTGCTTGTAACCTGGGAAAGCAGTGGAGGATGACCTAAAGCCTTGGGACCCTACACCCATGTGGGAGAACCACAAGAAGCTCCTGGCTTCACATTGGCTCAGCTCTGTCCTCTGCTGCCACTTGGGGAGTGAACAAGGGGACGGAAGACCCTGTCTCTCCTTCTCTCTATAGATCTGCCTTTCTGATATAAATAAATAAATCTTTTAAAAAAATTGCTGTGGTTTGGATCTGAAACCTTGAATATATGAAAAGCATGAAATAGTATGTGAAGTGAGTTGCCATTCTGTAATCTCCTCTCTTGTCCACTCCTTGATGGTTCCCCTGGAAGAGCCCATCAATGAAATCCACCTGCTGGGCAGTCCCTGAGGGTCCCGTCATGGTTACAGTCCTGAGCACAAGAAAAGACTCTGCGGCCACAGGAGCCATGGTTACTGAGGGCAGCACAGCTGATGGGGAAGTTTCCCCAGATGGCCACACAGCTGCTTCCTCTGCCCTACTGCACTGGAGAGAAGGCCCACACCTCTGCCAGTGTTTGCCAACAGCCCCAAGGGAGGCACTGGCTGCTTGAGCTTACTGGTCCCCTTATACAACACAGCCTCCAGCGAACTTTACCTTCTCCCTCTCTCATTCACTCAGACCCCCCTTCCCTACCCGCCTCTCCTCTCCAGGATGTGACCTGTCTCATAGAACCTGTGAAGGCTGTGGCAGTCTCTCTCCTCTCTTCTCTGGGGCCAAACTTCCTTTCAATGTAAGACAGCGATGGGGTGGGTGGGTTGTGATGTCATGGGGGCAGAGAGGCCAGTGGTTTTTAAAGCAGTGGTGTGTGGCCAAGAGGGCCAAGAGTCAGTTCTGTTTGGCCATGCAGTCTTCTCCAAGGGAGACAGGCCAACTAAGCAAAGGATCTCTTACTTTTTGGATTTTATGGATTTTAGAAAGCTTTTTTTCCCCTCCCCACAAATGGAAAGTTAGTCCTTTGCCAAATATGTTCAAGCATCCTTCTACCATGTTCGTGCTTCCTCTTGTGACTTTGTGGGTCATGTGTGTGTTCCACAATAGCTAAGGTTGGATCAATCATTCCTTCCCATTGGCCTCTGTGTTTTGTATCTTCTTAGAGAGTGAGCAGGTGGTCTGGCTCTTAGGATGCTCATGTCCCATTCCAGAGTGCCTGGGTTTGCATCCTGACTGTCCTGATTCTAGCTTCTTGCTCGTGGGCACCCAAGAGGCAGCAGTGGCGCCTCAGGTATGTGGGTTTCTGCTACTCTTATGGGAGCCCTGTGCTGACTTCTTGGTTGCTGGCTTTGGTCTGGTCCAGTGTGGACTTGTTGAAGGCATCTGGGGAGCGAACAAGTGAATGGGAGCCCTCTGTCTCTCTTTCAAATAAAAAAAAATTAAGTAAAAATTTGAGTTTAAACATGTGAACAGCATGAAAGGGGTTCTTGAGACACACTGAAAGAAGGCAGCAGGTGTGCTTGCTAGCACACTTCGGGCCAAGCTGGCTCTTGGATTCACCCATTTGTCCATTTTTCACCTTGCAGAGAGAGTGACATTAGGCCAGCATGGTCGCTGCCTGCCCACACAGTCCACCTGACACTTCTGGTGGCAGCCCCATGGGTCTTCCCTTCTTTGGCCTCTCAGTCCCAGGGTCAATGAGCCTGTCTGTTGGGTGCCTTGTCCTGCCACTAAGACTGGGGAGTGGAAGGGGGGAGTCACAGAAAGGGATACTTTTGGAAATGATCCAGAGATGATTCAACTTCCAACTTGGTTGAAGCCCAGAAATGTAGAAGCCAGCAGACATAGAACTAGGCCTGAGGGTCCCTACAGAAGCCCGGGGTCTTGCTTGTCACTCAGACATGCCCTCACTGAGCAGCATCAGAGGTGCTGGGCTGACCTCACAAAGTGATTGTGATCACTTGGGAACAAGTGCAGATGGCAGGCCTGCCTCTCAGCAGACCAGGCTCTTGGGGACTCCTGACCTGGTGCTTCAACTGGCCATATCAGGGGACAGGTCAGCCAGGCAGGTGGCTGCTCAAGTCCTGCTGGAGGAGGAGATCCCACCTGGGAGCCAGCAGTCAGGGGTGCGACTGGAATCTTCACACCAAAGTGGGTCCACAGTTGACTGTGGAGTGTGTGCCGGAGGGCAGGGGTGGGCAAGGTGCAGGAGTCCAGGAACCAGGTATGTTTGTTAGCAGAATGATTGCATCCAGGCAACCTGAAGAGGGGTGTGTTGAGCTCTTGGCTTTGGAGGTTGAACCAGGTCTGAGATGGGGCGGCCCCTGTGGCTGTGATACAAGGTGGCAGGGGATGCTGTGGCAGGAGTGTGTGGGGAAAGGGGTTACAGGGAGAGACACAGAGCCTGAGAGCTGGTGGGAAGGATCAGCCAATCTTGCCCCTTTCTAACAATGCACTTGGATGAACTGATTGTGGTCCCCTAAGAACTGCGTTAGTCACTGACCTAATGAGCTTCCACCAGCCCCACCTCTGATGGTTCCACCACCTCCCAGCACAGCCTCACTGTGGGGACCAAGGTGAGAACCCATCAACCATATATCCAAGCCATGTTCCTCATGGAACAGCTGAGTCAGCTGCTTCAATTGCACCTTTAGCAACTAAGTGCAATGTGTGGAGCGAGAAGCAAAGCCACAGTGTGGAGTAGATTCCTGCTCACTTCCTGACCTCCCCACCACCCCCCAACGCCTCTGGGCTACAGCTCATTCCTGCGTCAGCTTTCTGCTGGTTAGGCAGAGCACTGTTGCCCAATAGATGTCACTGCACATACATTTACAGGACAGATGTGGGCAAATCTGTCACCCTGATGTCTGTGCTTGGTGGGGGAGAAGCCGGCATGGGGCTGCCTGCGTTTCTGTTTGCATTAAGCACCCGTGCCAGGAGTCGCTTGGTTTTGTCGTCATTTCCCACGTTCAGCTTAGATAGGCTCCGCTTCCCCACTTCTCTTTCCTCTGTGACTCCTACCTTTGCCTCTCCAGCTGACTCACTCTCTGCACTGGGCATCTCTCCTCCCTGGCTTGTTGCTTGATTCCTCCTCAAAGCACCTGCCCATTCCAAGCTGTTAACACAAGGTAAGTTAAAAGGCAGGGTAGGGCAGACAGTGAGTTTAGTCACAGGTGCTTTTATCAAGAACCTGTGGGCTTTTACATGGTCTCTTTACAAAACAGAGTGACAGAACAAGAGGAAGTGTTCTTACATCTGCCAATTTATTCACGGATGGCCACAACAACCAAATAGTGGGCCAGGCAAAGCTTAGAACCTGGAAATCTGCCTGGGACTCCCATGTGGGTGGCAGGGGCCTAAACACTTGTGCCATCTTTAGCTGCTTTCCCAAGTGCACTAGCAGGGAGTTGGATCAGATGCAGAACAGCTGGGATTCAAACTGGCATCCTCTCGAGCAGCAGTGTAAGCAGCTTGAACCACAACATTGGACCCTGCTTGGCCTCTTTAGCATTCTTCAATCTCCTCCTTCCCAAAGGGATTTCTCATTCTGTGGGCCCCTATGGGGGATGTGCGATTGCATAAGAAGCATGCAGGCACTGACAACACCCACCAGCATCAGTGCCCGGCGCCTAAAGCTGCTATTTCAGAACTGATGAGGCAAGGAGAGAAGGCAGGGCAGTTCTGAGATCTGCACAGAGGTACTGCTGAGGAACCTCACTTCTGCCACGGGTCCTGGTGCTGTGTATGGACCTGGCACGGGGCAGTCACCTTTGCTGGACACAGAGGGACCTTGGAGATGAGGTGATGGAGTAACTCAGCAGGAAGGAAGAGCACATGTGTGAGTACGAATGTGTGTGTGGATGTGGTGTGCATGTGTGGAGCTGTGGCTCCTTCTAAAAAGCAGACAGCCACCATGGGGATATGGCTGTACTCCAGCTGCAGGTTTTTCAGCCGTGAGAGTGGCAGGACCCCCAAGAGGTGGGCTTGTTCTAGGTCCTCTGTGAAGTCCTGACTCTGCAAGGTGCTCAAGTCCCTGCATGGTGGTGCACCGTTTGCTTGCCTCCTGCAGACTTCAGGCAGAGGAAGTGCTATGTGAGTGGTTGTTACTTGTATAATCAGTAATCTGTACACGTTCAGGCTGTTTCTGAACATTGTTGCCCCTCAGTCCATGTGAATCCAGCTGTGTGCAGCTGCTTGACATGCAGGGATGATCACTTCTCGCACCAGGCATGTGGGGTTTCCATGCCAGTTCTCTTCAATTCTTTGCAAACACCAGCTGGCTGCTCTGTAATCCCATTAAATACTGACACCAGCTGCCCAGCTGGCCTCAGACCCCAGTGAACAAAAGCTCAGTCCCCTGATGGGTTCCCCAGGAATCACTTCATTAGTATACATACAGGGGGTGATTGGCAGGGGTTGGGCAACTCCCGAAGCACTGCCTCCACCCCGTCTCTCCCCTCAGGATGTTCTAAGGGCTTGTGTGTTCTGGGCCAGAAATGGGGAATACAAACCAAAAAAGGATCCGTGTACGATGTTACAGCTGTTCTCTTTGTATCATGCAGTAGATGAGCATGAAAAAAAATCAAGTGTCAAGAGAAAAACATGTGTTTCTCATTATATAGCAGTATCACTGAAGTGTTCAGGCAATTGCTTGCTTTTAACCTGCAGCTGTGTGGAGAGAGAGGGGCTGGTTGCCAAGATCTGCGAGGACAAGTGGCAGGTGCCCAGCCTACAGCCATCAGCCCCAGCCCTGGAAGGACACCCAGAACCCAGCCTGTGTCCCCTTTGGCTGCACTAGGAATGGCCAAACACCACCAGGCCCTGCTGCTCTTGGTGGCAACTGTGGTGGCCCTTGTGTGCACAAGGGTGCAAGCCTGGGGCTCTGTGAAAGTGGTGAGAAAATTTCAAGACATCTCTTCGAGCTATGTGTACGTGCAGCAGGCCCTCTGGTTCGCCATGCAGGAGTACAACAAGGCCAGCAACGATATGTACTTCTTCAAGGTGATGGAGATTCTGAAGACCCAGGAGCAGGTTCGTGGAGGTTTCGCCCTCACTCTTTCACTGTCCTCTCTCTCCCGTCCCAAGCCCTGGGCTGAAGCCAGGAAGGGACCCATCGTCCACAGGCTGGCCATTGAAACAAAAGGTGAACAGAAGTTTAGAGCTGCTGTCAATCAAACCATAGCAACTGTTTTCAAACTAAAAACAAAGGTTTTTTTTGTTTTTTGTCATTTGCAGTACGCAGGGGCAGAATTCAAAGATTGAAACTTGGGGATGGGTCTAGGGCAATGACTCAATCGGCTAAAGTCCTCGCCATGCAGCTCCAGGATCCCATGTGAGTTCCAGTTCACATCCCAGCTGCTCCACTTCCCGTCCATCTCTCTGTGACCTGGGAAGGCAATGGAGGGTGGCCCAAAGCCTTGAGACTCTGCCCCTGCGTGAGAGACCTGGAAGAAGCTCCTAGCTTCAGATCAGCTCAGATCCAGTGGTTATGGCTATTTGGGGAGAGAACCAGCAGATGAAGATCTCTCTGTAAATCTACCTTTCCAATAAAAACAAATAAATCTTAAAAAAAAACCTTAGGACTTCTATAGCATCTTTAAATTTTTAAATTAATGCAGAGAGAACAGATTTTATTTATTTAATGTATATAATTTCAAGCTCATAAGGACATTTCCCCTCACCTGCTCTCTCTCCTCATTCCTTGCTTTTTTATTTTTTCCTTTTAACTTATTTTAAATTTTTATTTGAAAGGTAGAATTACAGAGGGGAGAGGAGAAACAGAGATAGATAGATAGATAGATAGATAGATAGATAGATAGATAGATAGATAGATAGATCTTCCAACCACAGGTTCACTCCCCAAATGGCTGTAATGACTGTAACTGCGCTGGTCCAAAGTTAGGAGCTTTACAGAAGTCTCCCATGAGGGCGAAGTGGTCCAGGAACTTCAGCCATTCTCCTCTGCTTTCCCAGGTCATAAACAGGGAGCTGGATTGGAAGTGGAGCAGTTGGGACTTGAATCGTTGTCCATAAGAGATGTTAGTGTTGCAGATGGAGGCATAGTCTACTATACCATGGCACTGACCCCTTTCCTTTTAATTTTTATAACATCATCATCTTCCATTTACTTCATAGCTGTAAGCTACATTAATTTTATCTTAGGGGTTTCAGAGAATTACATTTTATCCTTTGGCATTCTGACATGGCATTGAGACATAAGTCCATTAAAATAACTTCAAATAGGCAGCAGCCAAATGGAAACCATCAGGGAGCCATGAAGGCACCTGGAAGGGGCTAAGTTTGAGGTTGAGTACCATCTGCATGAGCCATGACAGGAGTGGGTTATGTCACTGGGGAACCGAGCCCAGTGAGTGCTGGCAGAGGAACCAGGATAGACAGGTATTTCCCACTGCAGGGGAAAATGCCAGCTGCTGGGTGAAGCAAGTGGCAGCCTTAGAAAGCTGACCCTTGTAGCCTCCAAGGGAATCCCTGATGAGGGTATGTCGCATCCACTTGATTGCTAAAAGAGAATGCGACCTATAGTAGTGACAGTCACAACCAAGCCCTAATTGCAATGAGAGGCAAGGTACCCGACACTGCTTACCGGAACACTGCCCCGGAACAGCTCATTAACAGAGTTGCTTTTTTAAATAGGGGCAGTTGACAATGGCTTGCATAGTGCAGCAGGAGAGGAGGCGCTGTGCACTCCCTGCCTATCTCAGCTGGCCAGCCTATGCCTGCCTCCCCTCCGGTCCAGATAACCAGACTCAGGCCCTGATGAAATCTGAGAGATAACGGAACTCGAACCTTGATTCCCGAGAACTGGGAACCATCCGTGCTGAAGGTCACGTAGATGGTTCAGCCTGCAAGCTCACACAGTCTCCCAAGGTTTCTTAGGCAAACAAATGAAGCAGAAGCTACAAAAGTGAGAAGTATTGCCGTTAGTAATGAGCCATGGTGACTGTATTTTGATTTCAGTTCTGGAGGTGCCAACAGCTCACTCTCCGGCTGGCTTTCCAGGAGCCCGTGGCTGTGACGTGCAGAGAGGCCCACAGCCACACCTGTGTTGAGTCAGTGTTTTTTTTTTAAATTTGAAAGGCAAATTTACACACGAGAGAGAGAGAGAGAGAGAGAGAGAGAGAGAGAGAGAGACAGAGAGAGAGACAGAGAGAGAGAGAATATCTTCCATGTGCTGGGTCACTCCTCAAATGGCTGCAAGGCTGGAGCTGAGCTGATCCGAAGGCTTGAGCTTCTGCTGGGGCTCTAAGCTGAAACAAAGTTCCCCTTGAGGCACAAAACATTCAATTAACTAAAGCCACAGGAGGCTGGAAAAGAGCTGTCCCCTCACCTAGGGAGTAGTGCGCCTGAGGCAGGAGGGGGGGGGGGCCTCCGAATTCCCCTTCAGCGCCGTCAATTATCCAGAAGGGACCGGTTGGAGGTAGAAGGGCAGGCCTGTGAGCCTCGGGAGAACTTTCCCCTGTGTTCTCGCTGTCAGTGAACCCGGCAGGTCTGCAGGCTGCTATATAGCGACCAACCGATGGCACCCCATCACAGCATGCTTTGCAAGGCGGCAGCCCATCGGACAGGACAGGACAGGACGGAACAGCACAGGACATGACAGGACGGGACGGAACGGGACGGGACGGGACAGGACAGGACAGGACAGGCCGAGGGTTCCCAAAACCGCTGCTGAACGGAAGACTCTGGAGAGAATGAGTACCTTCTAAGCAAGCGGCAGTTCTGGGAGGCGGTTTATTCTCTCCCTCCTTCTCGTTTAGCTGTGAAGATTCAACGAGCGCTGCTATTGCTTTCCCAGCTCCAGTAGGCAAACCAGTTAGTAGTTGTGTAGCTCTGGGAAATTTTTCTGAAACCATTTCCTTTAAGTTGGGGAAGACTACCCTTTAAAGTGAAGGACTGCAACAGAATAAAAACACACCAAGGTATAAATACCACCCCAGATTGTCCCAATTGTCTGGCAAGCAAATTACGCAAGTGGATCACATAGACGCTCTTGTTTCCAAGTTCCCAAACAGTCCCAGATGAATCGGTGACATCAATGTTTTAGGATGGCTAATGGTAAAATTGATCACCAACAGGTCACAGATAGTTTGGACTACCTTCTTGAAGTTAAGATTGCCCGAACGATGTGCAAGAAAGTTTCAGGAGAAAACGAAAACTGCTTATTCCAACAGGATCCCCAAATGCAAAAGGTATATAGCATAAACTAAACTAATTTTTTGAAGAATAAAATAAATAAATAAGTGCAAATTATATAAATATTATGCAATCAAATAAATGAATAAAAAGAATAAAAGAAAGAAAGTTATAGGGTGGGGACAAGAGAGATTTTGTGCTGCAGGTAGAGAGAACTGCCAAGGCCCAATCCTGCTTTAACTTCCTGCTTTCCTCCTTAAGCCATGTTCTTTCTGCTGATATGCTTGGGACTGTGGATAATATTTCCCACCACACTTCTGTCTGGGCTGTGACCTGCTCTGTAGGTTCCTATGGTGCGGCCAGGGGTGAAGTAAGTTCCAGATGGGTGTTCTGCTCATGACCCCAGACCTCACCTGGGATGACTGAAAAAGCTTTGGCTGGTCAAACACCTTTCTCACTCTGGGCTTTCCAGGAGTAGGGAGGCATTTGGAGGGTGACCAGTTGTCCCTGGTTTGCCCCCAGTGACTGAGCAGGCTGTTAGAATGTGAGCCTTTCCATGCTGAAGGTGGAGAAGGAGGGCCCAGCGTAGTGGCCTAGGGGCATACGTCCTTGCCTTGAACATGCCAGCATCTCATATGGGTGCTGGTTCTAATCCCAGCAGCTCCACTTCCCACTCAGCTCCCTGCTTGTGGCCTGGGAAAGCAGTCAAGGACAGCCCAAAGCCTTGGAACCCTGCACCTGCGTGGGAGACCCAGAAAGAAGTTCCTGGCTCCTGGCTTCGGATCGGCACAGCACTGGCAGTTGCAGTCAACTGGGGAGTGAATCATTGGACGGAAGATCTTCCTCTCTGTCTCTCCTCCTCTCTGCATATCTGCCTTTCCAATAAAAATAAAATAAATTTTTAAAAAATTAAAAAAATAAAAATAAATAAGGACGGAGAAGGAAATCTTGAGTAAACTAGTTGGTCATTTTACATTTGACCTTCCTCACGAGATGTGGGGTCCCCATGAAATCAAATGTCTGATTAGCTGCCACAGGGAGGAAAAGCCAAAGCTTCCACCAGCGCTGGCAGGGAAGGATTAGAAGAAAGCCAGCTTGGTGGACAGTGTGTCCCTGGCATCGTGTGCTGATCCAGTGGGAGGTCAGGGGTCATCTTGTCCTTCTATTGTCCTTGAAAGAATTTTGAAGCCAAACATGCCAGAAGGAACTTGGCTTGATTTCCGTTGTCTGGATGACACATGGAAAGCCCACAGGGGCTTCGGGGCTGCCTGAGACTCCCACCCCAGGGGCTCAACATGCCCAACAGCAGCTCCTGTGCCCAGTCTAATGCTTTGTCACATCAGAGATAAGGGGCAATCCCAGATGGGGCTGTCAGTCACACACTAAGCATGTACAGAGAGAGAGAGAGAGAGAGTCTCCTGTCAGCTGATTCACTTCCCAGATGGCTGCAACGTCCAGGGCTGGATCAGGCTGAAGCCAGGAGCCAGGAGCTTCCTGTGCATCTCCCGTATGGTGCAGGGGCCTAAGCAGTTGGCCCATTTTCTAGTGTTTCCCAGGCGCATTAGCAGAGAGCTGCATGGGGAATGAGCAGTGGGGACTGGAACCAGCGCCTTCATGGGATGCTGGCGTCTCAGGAAGCAGCTTAGTTCACTCTGCAGAATGCCAGCCCTGTATTATCTTCTCTGTACACCCTAACACTCATTATCTTGACACCTTGACAGTAGCCTTCATATGATCAATTATTTATTTAGGACGTAAATTATGACACATCTATTCCATTCCCTCTCTCAAAATAAACAAGACTTCTAAAATTCCTATCCACGTTTCAAAACCTTTATCTTTGTGTACAGACTTTTACATGTTTTTCAAAATCTATGCAAAGTTTTGGAACCTTTTTTCTTCTTTCCACCCAACACTGTGTTTTGAGAGTCATGTACGTTTGTGCAATCTGCTGTTATTTGCTTTTGCTGAGTGACTTCTTGAGCCAGTTGATGTGTGTAGAAATTGATCATAGCATATTTGATTGTCATCAGTTAGACTGGTCACATGACTGTATGGCACTGTGTGCAGCTGTTTCCCTGTTTGGCACTTTTTTTTTTTTAGATTTATTTATTGGAAAGTCAGACATACAGAGAGGAGACAGAGAGGAAGATCTTCTGTCTGTTGATTCACTCCCCAAACTGCTACAATGGCCGGAGCTGAGTTGATCTGAAGCCAGGAGCCAGGAGCTTCTTCCGGATGTCCCATGTGGGTCCAGGGTCCCAAGGCTTTGGACCATCTTCAACTGCTTTCCCAAACCACAGGAAGGGAGCTGGATGGGAAGCGGGGCCGCCAGGATTGGAACTGGCACCCAGTTGGGATCCCAGCATGTGCAAGGTGAGGACTTTAGCTGCTAGGCTACTGCGCCAGACCCTTGACACATGTTTGATTGTTTGCAGTTCTTCACTTTTAGCAGCAGTGACATAATGAAAGTTCTGGCTGTGGCAACGTGGGTGAAAGGCAAGGATCTCCTGGTGATGTCATTAGGAGTGGGGCAGGTGTGGTGACGTGGAGGGAGTCTTGGCGATTCTTGGTGTAGGAGCTTTAGTCTTCCCAGTTGAACGTGTGTGGAATGCTTCCTCGTCATTTCACTGTGCATTTTTTTGATTGCCAACCGGTTTCTGGCTTTTCTGTTCTGTCATTGTATTTCTTTCTGTTTGTATTATTATTATTATTTATTTGAAAGAGCAACAGAGGAGGAGGAGAGAGAGATTTTCCATCCCCTGGATCATTCCCTAAATGGCCATAATAGCCTGCACTGGGTCATGCTGAAGCCAGGAGCCAGGAATTCCACCTGGGTCCCTCATGTCATTGGCCGAGGTCCACGCACCTCCCCAAAGCCCGTGCATGCTGCCCCTTCCCAGCACGCTGTGGTGACCCTCCCTGGGTGCCCCAGCAGAGGCCTGGACTGTGTTTCAGTGGCTTTTCAAGCTTCCTGGTGCCTGGCCTGCTTTCTCTCTCTGCCTGGCTCTACACATGTTGTCTCATGCAGCTTCGCCTGAGCTTCCCTGGCCCTTGCTTCTGCTGATGCCATGGGGGTATCCCTGCATCTCCTGCGGGTGGAGACAGGTGTGTGGAGAGACAGATGTGTGCAGTGCCAGCTGTGAGCCTGAAACACTGCTCATGGTTGCAGGACCTGAGGGCCAGATCTGTGTGTCTTTCCCACGTTCCCTTGGACCACATTCCCGTCTCCATCTCTGGCCACATTCCTCTGCCACGCTCTAAGGTGTGCAAAGAGCCCTGCACTATTCTTGTGTTGCCTTCTCTGGGAAGTGTCTGGCTGAGCCTGCCACGCTACCCAACCTTTCCCTCAGGGCTGCAGGGAAGCCAGCGGACAAGTTTTCGGTTCCCTGCCTGTCTGCATACATACTGATGATTCCTTCTGTGTCTTCTAGATGCTTTTTTGCACCTTTATTGTGAGTTCCAAACCGTGGAAATTTGAACTCACTGTGGTGAAGCAAAAGTGCCAAGACATCTAACTGTCTTGCTGCATGTTCCGCCACACACACTCCCACTGCAGAGAAGTGATGGCACCTGCAAGACCTTGGAACAACTTTGCTGCAGCATGTTCTGCAGGCCTAATGTGTGGCCTTTGCACGGGACGGGCAGACTCACTCTGTGCAGAAAAGGGTGTCACATCTTTAAGGAGGAACAACTTGCTGCTGCCAATAAATGAAATTGCTTATACACCTTACCCAACTCAGGGATGCATGGCTTTTGTCTGACCCCCCTTTTCTGGAACATGCAATATCAGGACCTGCAGCGCGGTGGGTGCTTCCAATAGAGCCTCTGATGGGGAGAGGGTGGGGGTGGAGGAGAGTCTGGGCTGCCCTTCCTGGGTTTCCACAGAAAACTGGCTTCCCACACCCTTGGGAACATGCGGCCCAGGAAGCTGAGACGCAAGTGGAGCTTCCAGATCTGATGCAGCCGGAGATAGAGTGCGGCCTACCAGAGGTTTGGGGTGATTCTCAACTGAGGCACAAAATAGGGCAGAATGGTGCAGAGAGGAGTGTGTGTGTGTGTGTGTGTGTGTGTGTGTGTGTGTGTGTAGGTTGCACGTGTGTGTTCATAATTGGATATTTGTCATCTAATGCCACAAGATAAGTCACCCAGTGTGTGTGTGTGTGTGTGTGTGTGTGTGTGTGTGTGTGTGTGTGTGTGTGTACTGTGACATTAGTGTGTGTTTGCAGTTGGGTGTCTCCTGTCTCCTGCTGGCTTGTTCCCATGCGTGCAGAAGTGCCTCTCACGAGCTTATGCTAAGACATGGACCCTGCGTTATTATCTGAAGATTTGATTGCCCTTGGGGCATCTGCTCCCTGTATAACTGTTGACCATGGATTTCTGTCCTTTTCCAGGGATGGGGGAGGGATGCAGGCTCTTTTCAAACTGCATGGGAGCTCGGTGTAGTAGCCAATCTCCCCCAGAGTGGTCCCAAAGACCAAGATGGGGAGCCACAAGGTCCTTTGAGACTGAGCTTTAGCCGTCACACACACAGCCTCTCCTCCTGCAGATATTTCTGGTCACTCAGGCCTCACTGCCTGAGGACAGGGGCCATACAGGGGAATGAAAACCAGGAGGTGGGGTTCCCAGAGCCTGTGGCTGGAGGGATGTGCTCAGGGGAGGAAGGGGTTGGCCTGGCCTGAAAGAGCCTCCACGCCCCCCCCCCAAGCCCTGGTCTTGGAGGCTGAGCAGTGGCGTGCAGGTGGAGAACAGCCTGGCACTCAGCAGCTGTGACCTAGGCAGCAGCTTCCAGCCCGCATGCAGGACAGGGCTGCTGAGGTCCCAGGCTGCAGCCCCCAGCACCTCTCTGCCTTGGGGGTCTTCTTGGCCAATCAGAGGCAAGCTGGTGTGCCAGGAAGCTCGTTCTTCCTTGGAGAAATTCTCAGTTGGTGGCATATTTTAGAAGACAAACCTGCCTCTGCTCCCTGCCCACCGGGGCCTGCTTAGCTAGCTCAAGCCTCAGCTGTTCACACCAGAGCAGCCCTGGACAGAGCAGGAGCAGTCATACAGTGTACGGTGGTGGGAGCTTCCAGCAGCTGATGCTCTGGGTGCAAGCTGCAGGTGCACAGGTTGAATGGTGAGGGTTGGCCATGACAGACAAGCCTGGCCTGCTTGTTGGAGACAAGTGTCGCTGGGACATGGCCCTTACTCATTCCTGGCACACAGTGCAGCAGGAGGTCAAAGTCATGAAGCAGAGAGGAACTCAGCAGGCTGCATAAGACCACTAGGCTTACTCTTCAACTGTCCACAGGAAAGCCTGACTCAGAAGATAGGGCCAACACTGTCCACGGCTAGAGGCACTGGCATGTCTCAAAGATTTTTTGCACATGGATCTCATCGGATGGGTGAGCTGTAAATGCCAGCTGGTGTCCATGGAATGCCTTAAGGAGTTATGGTAACTGTCCCTATGGCTGCCAAGGTTGTCACTACAAGTCCTGAGTAAGGAGTTCAGAAGGGCCTTGGCTGTGTACCTAGAATGCCTCAGGAAGCTTGCACTGGGGTAACATCTCTCAGCCCAGCTGCCCCCAGGCTGCCCTGCTGAGAACCACTCCTGTACAGCTCAGCTCTGGCCCCAAATCTCAGCACACAATGGCTTGGACATGCAGACAGTTTAATGAGATACTCCCCTCCCTGTCCCCAGCAACAGTGTGGCAGCACAGGGGCAGTAGGCAGGTGCCCATGTGGAGATCCTTGGGAGCACAGAGGCTGGGAGATCTAGGACATGGCAGAGCAGCCTGGAGGGAAGCGCTGGTGTCCCCAGAAGGCAGGGAGCTGCGCTGGCCAGGCCTGCAGCTCAGGCGCCGTCACGGAGGTAGCTCGGAGCAGGTCTTGTTGAGGAGGGCGAACTCTGTTTTCCAGGGCATGGTAGTGATGGTGAAGAAGCAGGTGAAAGCCTGAGGATGAGCCAGCACAGGAGGGATGGGGTTAAGCGGTTCAGGGGATATGAGGTACATACCAGGTCACTCAGCTCAACCTGGGCCTACCCTGGGCCACCAGCCTGGGAACTCAGGTGTGGGAGCCCAGCATGAACCCCAGAAACCTGCCAACTCTCTCCAGAACTCAAGAAAGCTTGCAGACCCAAGGACACATGTTAGGCTGCATCCTACACAGCAGGCTCCAGAGCCATGCCCAGGGTGTCAGGAGCGAGTCAGAGCCCAGGCACTACAGGCTGATGCTGATCCAGGCAGTGCCTGCTCCTGGCCTCCCAAGGACAGGGCCTGGAGGAAGGCAGTGTCCTCAACCTGCGCCCTCTTGGGTCTGGGTCAGCCTAGGGACCCCAGAGACGCTGACCCTGGGCCTCCCAGGCTCCCTGTACAGAAGGTTCTAGGAGCTAGGAAATTGGACCAGCAAGGAGCATTCTCTTCTGGGGCTACACAAAAGCAGCAGATGGAGGCCAAGAAGCCAGTGAGCAAGTAGGTCCCTCCCTGGGAATAGGAGTGGGGGCAAGTTCAGGTTGGCCATGGGCCATGAGGGATACCCTGGGCAGTTTCCCAGCCAGCAGCTCTCTGAGGTTTGGGTGTGCAAGCTGATTGTGCTGACCGTGGGCTCAGTCCTGTGGGTCCCAGTGAGGGGCAAGCAACCTTCACAGGGCTGGGAATTGGGGAAGAGGGGTCAGTCCTTACATGGCTCTGGCCCTGGTGGTCTTCAAAGGGGCAGTTCTCTGTGTCTTCCTCCAGTTTGCCACACTTGGTTCGGCGCACCAACAATTCCATGGAGAACGCTATAAACTCTTCATTCTTTGGTACATAAAGAGATTCAGGTCACCACACAGCTCGAGACACCAGTAAGGAACTGCAGCGTTCAGGGCTCTACTCCTCCACTGGGAAGCATGACCTTGACCTGGGAACAGCGTTCGAGGGTACACAGAGGGGCGACCCTCTCTATGGAGTTGGAGGGGAGGGGATGGCGCTCATATAAAAAGTAGATGAGACTGGTGGACGGGGCCAGGCACACGCAGGCTGAGTCTCAGGCTGGCACTTTATTTCCTTGAGCCAGCTTCCACACCTTGAGCCCTGGTTTTGCTCTCAGCAGGTGTCTTCACCCACATTTCACTGCCTGAGGCCTAGGACCAAGAGTGTTGACTCGCGCGAGGCTCTGAGAAGGGGCACTCATCTGATTGGTGCTCGCTGTGGCCCACAGTGGGCAGGTCACCCCATGGTGCAGCTGTTATAAGCAGGTGGTGGACTAAGTCAGCTGCCGTCATGCTGGTGTCAGGAAACCACTCTGGCCCTTATTCTGAGACACTGTCACATTTTACGTCCTCCTCCTTCTCTACCCTAGTGCATTTGCCTTATATCTGACACTTCCCCTCCACTGCCCCAACCCACCCAGCTGACTCAGTAACCGAGGACCTGAACCACACAGCAGGCTCTGAGCAGGGAGCGCCTGGCAGATCCCGAGGATACACATGGAACACTGCGCAGAGGTTATGTGTATGGGGGAGAGGTGGCAGAAGGAGGTGGTGCTGGGTTTCTCTATGCTCCCCTCAGGCTCCTAGCCCAGGTAGAGGCAGAGCCCTGTGCCTTCGTCCCCTGTGTCAGAGGTCCCTACCAGGCAGGTGGAGCCCTCGTTCCTGCCCCAGCCCTGAGGAATACTGCAGTTACACTTGAATGCTTGACTGTGGACACAGGATAGTCAGGGCCTGAGTGCTGCAAGCAGGAGTGGGGAATATGTTGGGTTCATGGAGCAAACATCCTGGGAACCCGGGCAGGTGCAGGTCCCAGAAGAAGTGCTGAGCACCCAGGGTTCTCAGAATCCTGAGGGAGTGGGGTGGGGTTGGGTATTTTGCTCCTGGCATCTTTCCCCAACCCGGCTGCCAGCCTCCCCCTCTTCCCCTGCTCTTCTCAGCTTCTTTCTGAACATGTTTCCTCCTCAACCTACTTTTCTGGGCTTTCGTGCATGTGTGTTCCGCAGGTCTCTGTTTCTGTGCCATGGGGCCCCTAGCTGTCAGGTATTAGACTTCCCAGTTCTGGCAGACAATGTGCTAAAACCATCAGCAATGGATAATGCTACCCGGGATGCTGATGGATTTGGGCTCACATCCAAGACTTTGGGAAGTAAATACTTTCTGGAACCCGATATACGCTGTACTGTGCTTGCACATCAATGGTGAAGCAAGACCCCAGGTCACAACCCCCTACCTGTTTCTGCCCCTCTCCAAGTAGCAAGGACAAAAAGGCAGGCGGGAGAAGGGGGCTCACTTACCTTCTCCCTCCAGGCTTGCAGTAGCTTCTCCAGCTTGTAGGCTTGCTTGTCCTGGCTCTCCATGTTAAACATGTGCAAGGCAAACTCCATTGTGGCAGGCAGGTAACTCTGCAAGGTCTCCTGGTCAGCAGCGTTGTTTTTTTGCTCAGAATGGGTCTTTGGGAGATGCCAGCCAAAGAGAAGGGGCACCAGGGTGCAGAGCAGAGCCTTCCTTCCAGGCCAACAAGGCATCGTGCAGCAGCTGATACCTCTGCCTTCAGGACCTCGACACGCAGAGCCCGCTGTGCTGGTTCTGGCCTTGAGCTTGTTGGCTGCTCGAAGGCTCCTCCTTCTCGGCCTCCTCTGTGTGTTTCTACTCCCACGTGGCGTGGCCTCCTCCAGTCGGCATGGGAACACTGTTTCTTGCCCAAGAAGGAGGAACTGGCCTCAAGAGCAAGGGTGGGAAAGAGCTGTGGGCAGGGCTGGAGCACCCACTGAACCTGCAGAGCTCTGGATGGAGGCCTGGGGCCAGGCAACTTCAAGGGCCTGGGCTGTGCCAGGGAGGCTGCAGCCACAGGCTCAGGCCTACCTGCAGGGGTCCCTGAGCTGTGTCCATTCCTTCCCTCTCACAGATGCTGTCCCTGTCTCCCATCCTTCCCTACCCGCCTGCTCCCTGCACTCCTTCTCGTAACAGCCCCTGCTCCTTGTTGCAAAGAAAGGGTGTCTCTGTCTCGCCCTCCTGTCTCCCCTGAGCCCTCGCTGATCTTCCCTGAGGCCCACTCTGCACTCCTGGACTGCCTCACCCCGGCTGTTTTGCCCGTTTATCACGTCTTTCTCTCTCCACCTGTAATGGCTTTAGGACACGCCCAGGGACCCTGATGGCCTCCACCTCCCAGGGCTGAGTCTGGTTCTTTCCATGGTGGTGCTGGGAGCACCTGTACCTGACTTCCCTAAGGCACTGAACTGAGTGAGACAGTAACCCGTTCAGGCCCCAGAACCTCTAGGTCTCAGCTTCCTGTCCCTCTCCACCTGACTCCTGCTCTCTCTTTGGTGTCCCATGCTGGCCTTAGGCATCTGCTGTGTGGAGCAAAACTGTGGGCGGACACGTGTGTCCTCCCAGAGCAGCCAGTGGGAAGCCAAGGCCTCTGGCTGAGAGCACAGCCCAGGAAGCACCAGACGCCATCAGGCATGCCTGGCCTGCTCTGTAGTCACCCAGAGCCTCTGCTAACACCCTGATCCCAGCAGCTTTAAAAGACCTGAGCCCTCTACACTTCGGTCCTCTATTTGAACTTGAGGTACACAGAATGCCAAAGATCATTCATGCTTTAACTCTGTCACTGGGTGTATGTACTATGTACAGAAATAGACCATATGCAAGCAGTGTATATATACTGTATCTTATACTCAGTAATATGTATACTGTGTATGTAAGATACAGTTTGGGCAAGCAAGTGCCAGGATGGGTCTTGGCTTACTTAGCCTATGCAGGGGGCAGTGGGAACAAGCTTTTGGTGCGTGTCTAGAGACTTAAGACCCTTTCCCTTGGTTTTGGCAAAAGCCTTGAGACCCTACTTCTGTTTCAACGGCACCTTGAGACCCCTGTGGACCCATGCAGTTGGCAAGAGGCCTAAGGCCCTCTGGGTATTTCCCCTGCCCCTCAACCTCTCCTCGTAATTTGTGTATTTTCAGTAGCTTAGTAGCTTGGTTGCCTCCTCCACCTGCCTATCCTGGCCCATACCTATCTTGTGGTAAACTTATGATAGTCTTGTAATAAACAACTCCAGAATGTGGGTGGGCTATACAAGTTGTAGTGGACTACGTAGTGCCACCTGGCAAAGTATATGACAGTTGTGATGATTGGCTAGGCTTATAATGTGTAATAGAATCTTATATCCAATAGAAATATTGTTACTACCCTGAGGTTTGTTGCCCTAACCCTTCCTATATAAGTTTGTGCTTGTTTATTAATAAACAGACATGTTCACCGTAACCGTCTCTAGTACTTCTCTATAGAGAATGCCATCACCACATCACATTGCCTGGGAGTTGGGCTTAGGTTCCTGTCCCGTGCCCCGTCCTTTGTGAGAGACACTGAGTACTCAGACCAGCCCCGGCAGCAGCCCCAGCTGTAGACGTCTGCAGAGTGGGCAGGTGCCTGGGAGCTCGCTCTTTCTCTCTCTTTCTCTCTCTCAGTGTTGAAACCTCAACTCTGGCATCCACTGGAAGTGTCCCCCTGAGCAGGTCACCCCGCTCTGGATCAGAAAACTACTCCCACCTAGGCATGATGCCGGACTGTGCCAGGCTCCGGTCCTGCCGCTGGTCATCACACTGTGTGTGTAGGAAAATGCTGAGACCCCAGCCACACACACCACAGGACCCTGTCACAGGTTCCCACAGCTCAGCGCTACCATGTTTCGTGAATGCTCAGGGGTTGTCCTTGCTCATGACCAGATCAGGTTGAGGAAGAAGAGGATTCATCACAGTAGCAGCAGATTCTTCTGCATGTGCTCCATTGAGGACTCCCCTCTCACCCTCAGCCTTCTTCTAGGTGAGCATCCTGAGGTCAGGAGACCCTTGATGGGCCAAGAGTTCCAGGAGTGGGGGACAGGCTGCCAGGCCCTAGGGAGCACTAAGAGTTGAGGGAGGCAGGCCCCACTCCGTGTCCACCTCCCATGCTCTCCCTGGGGATCTCAACAGAGACCCTGTGATGCATGAGTACATGGCTGTCCTGGAGAGTTGGTGCCCACCTAGCTACCCAGGAGCAGACCTGTCATGCACACTCTGTCTGAATGACAAGCAGGAGTTCTCTGTTAAAATGGAAATCATGGCAGACTGATGGCACAGCACTGGTGCTGAGAACTGGTCAGAGTAAAGGAGAAAATGCGAGCAACCCTGCCACCTTGTGGTTCAGATGTGCACTTGGCACAGGGACCACCCACTGCCGCCCCTTTGCTTCTCTAGAGAGAAGCTTTCTTCTAGAGAGAGCTTTCTGTCTTTTGTTGGCTCTTCCCCTCCCAAGATTTTGACACGAGAGATTGGATCAACACAAGTGGTCTCCAAACAGCTTTTCCTTCCTCTACCACCCTTCAATTGATGTGTATGGTTGACATGAGAGGGTTTAAAGGTTGCATTTTTCTTTTAAAAGTTAATTATGAGATCCAGAGCGGTAGCTTGGTGGCTAAAGTCCTCACTTTGAGCGCATCGGGTGGACACTGTCAGCCCCCTTCCACTCCCTCCTGCCCCAGAGCCAGGCTACACAAACCCCTTCCCCACCGCCAAGCCTGTAGAGACCCACCCCAGTGTCCCCTCCTGTCGTCAACCTGCACAGTCATCTTGTGGTTGATGGTGGCAGTTTTGAGAAAGAGGGTGTCTAAGTGGTACGTGACACTGTTCAGACCTGGACAAGCTCAGCCAGCCCTGTCTGCCCGGAAGACGCCCGACAGACTGTAGATCCAAGAGAGACGCAGCAACCGTCAGTGGAGCATGGCAGTCCCATGGCCCTGAGGCTGAAGACAGTAAACACACACTAAAATAGCATACCACCACCAAACAACACAAAGCCCCCCAACCGGCTTAAGAAACATGGAGTTGGTTTTGCCCGTGGGTTAAGAGGAACATGGTGATGTCTGAGGCAGATGCAAGCGTGGTCACTGGGGGTGTCCCTCCCAGTGTCGTTAGGATCACGGCGCAGGCTCACGCCCTACCTTAGGGGAGCATGAGATGTCAGCTGAGCTTCAAGTTCTGCCACTCCTGGCCAAAGGATGGCAAGAATGAAAGGATAAGGCTCCCTCTTGTCTTATGGCCGTGGGATAAAGAGAAAACAGGATTCTAGAAAGTTCCATGGGATAAAGGGAAAACAAAGAACTTAAGCTAAAACATGGGGAGAGTGGGGGATTTTTGGCCTGATTATATCTATGGACTAACAGGCAATTAGGCAACCTTATAGGGGTTGCCTATAAGGACAATAAAATGTTCTGCCAGATTCATGGATAAATAGAAAACGGAGGCCTCGTGTTGATGCAGTGAAGGCTACGTTGATCATGCTTGTGGAATGTGAGGGGGCATGGGGGACGTGGGCATGTTCATGTACTACGATTTCACCATACATCCACAAATGAAGAGGAAAATACTGAGTCTGAGGATTCATTCAAAAAGAAAAAATACTAGATCTGATCATTTGTATGCAATGATGAGAAAGCTGGGTGCCCAGTCATAACCCCTAACCACGAGGAAACAGAAGACTTGGCTGAGTTCATGAACAAGGGGGAAGGAGACCTCTTCATTTCTGTATGATACTAGGACACAACGGTTCCTGGGACTAACATTGTGGCATCCTGAGTTAAGCTGCTGCTGCCAAGTCCAAGATCCCACAGAAGAATGCCAGTTCTAGGCCTGGCTGCTCTGCTTCCCATACAGCTGCCCATAATGTGCCTGGAAAAGTAGTGGATGTGGCCCACATGTGGTGGACCTGAATGGAGTTCCTGGCTCCTGGCTTGGCCTGGCTGCTCTGGCCATTTGAGAGTAAACCAGTGAATGATATTCTCTCTCTGTCTCTCTCTAAGACTTTCTTTCAAATAAAAATAAGTAAATCTTTAGCGAGAAAAGGGACGAGAGAGACCTGATTATGTCCATAGAAGGAAAAGAAATATAAAGGCTGGTTATATTCATGAAATTAAAAGAAGTTAAGGGGCTTGGTTATTGACAAGCAAAAGGGGAAACTGAGGTATTGTTTGTGTCATAGAAACATGAGGAGCAAACACATGGGTATGGATGTGGTAAATAGGGTGGAGAGGCCTGTGAGGTCCAAGCAAAAGGAAGAAAACCGTGATCCTGAACCCTGAACATGTCCGTGAGATGTGAGCAAAGCACAAGAGTGGGGAGGGAGTAAGGGACCTTGGCCTGTGCACATGCGAAGAAAGCATGCCACAAAGCAGGTTAGCATGTACAGTGTAAGGGGGAGGTGGGGCAGATAGCATCCACAGCGTAGGGGGGACGGGGAGGTGGGGCAGATATACAGAGAGGAAGATCTTCCATCCGATGATTCACTCCCCAAGTGGCCACAACCGCTGAGTCGGTGCAAAGCCAGGAGCCAAGAACTTCCTCCAGGTCTTCCAAGTGGGTGCAGGGTCCCAAGGCTTTGGGCCGTCCTTGATTGCTTTCCCAGGCCACAAACCGGATGGGAAGCAGGGCTGCTGGACTTAGAACCGGTGCCCAGTTGGGATTCGGGTACATGCAGGGCATCGACTTTAGCCACTAGGCTAAGCCACCACGCTGGGCCCTAATGTCCCTTTTTATTGCTGTTATTGCCACAGCTCAAGAGTAATGATGTTCTAGTTTTTATGGTAATTTCTTTAGCACCACGTGGGTCACACAGTGGCATCTCTTCCTATATGAAGGTTCTTGATACGTTTTTTTCAACATCCTAGTGATGCATTGGTATTTTTATTGCATGTTCATTAACTTCATGTGAATGAAAGTTCATTTTTTTTTCTCCCTCTGTGGACTCTCCGACATTTTCCATGACTAATTTGTCAAGAGATACTTCAAAGACAGCATGATGGACTTAGACTGTTCTCGAAAGACACCCATTGTAAAACTGAAGGGGAAAATCAGTGGAGAGGCAGGGGGAAGGGAACGGGAAATCTCAATGTTTATTAAACTGTGTCATAAAACAAAAAATTCTTTAAATCAGTTGAAATAAAGATAATGAAAAGATTAAAAAAAAAACAAAAAACAGGCAGCTTCAGCCCCCAGGCAAGCCTCAGCCCTCAGTCCCCCAGCCGGCCCAAGTCCAGTGACCGCCCTCCTCCCCAGTGCGGTTCTGATTGGCTGCGTCTTCTCTGACGTCATCCGCACTGGGTGCGTCAGGGCCCTGCGGAGGCACGCGGGGCGTGCGGCGCTACGCTCACGTTTCTGTCTGGGCTCCTCAGAAGCCGGAGGGCGTCAGCCATGGCTGCTGTGTGAGCTGCCCACCGCGGCCGCCGCGGGAGCCTGGGGAGGACACCCCGAGTGCCGGGCAGCTGGAGCGGGTGAGTGGGACTCCAAGCAGGAGAACTGGCCGGGTAGCCGGGACCTTGGTGCGCGGTGCAGTGAGAGGAACGCTCCTGCCAGGAGTCGTTAGGAATTGTGCGGTGAGGCTGGGGGTGTCCGCAGGGAATGGGAATTGTGCGGTGAGGCTGAGGGTGTCCGCAGGGAGTGGGAATTGTGTGGTGAGGCTGGGGGTGTCCGCAGGGAGAATTCGGACTTCCAGTAGAACGTGACTTGCGGCGTTGGGAGCTCGGGTCTGAGTGCCAGTCCCTTGGGAAGTGGCAGCAGGCTGCTTCCGTGTGCCGCCAGATCCCTCTGTGGCTGTGCAGAAACTTGCTGCCTTTTATTTACTGTTTGCGCATTTAGATAGGAATTACGAGCCACAATATGAATGTTACGTTTTTATTTTCTTGCGTGGAGTTTGACTTTATTCAATGATCTTAAGAGGAGAGAGTGATTTTATTTACTTATTTGATTGTTTGTTTGTTTGTTTTTGCTAAGCTTGAGTAAGGATATAGAGACCTGTAGTCTGAGGACCCAGATGAATCAAGGGCCCAGCTCACTGAGGTTCTGACCTCTTGTCCCTGCTGTCCCTCAGAGGAGGGAGTCTGATTCCTTTTGCTTAAATTCTTGTGTGTCTCAACAGTATTTTGCTTGGCTGCTGCTCCTTTTTTTTTTTTTTTTTTTGTTATTTTAATTTAGGTGAAAATCTCTTAGTTGGATTTTCTTCACATGTTTATTCATGGTAATTTTTTACATAATTAAAAATACCTTCAGATTATGGTTAAATTCTGATTCTGGAGCAGGTGTTGGTAGAGTTGAGTGTCTAATCTTTGTGCATGTACACTTTCTTATTTTGTAATTTTTCTAACACGTGGAGTGAATTTATGTTCTTTATTATTTTTTAAAAAGATTTATTATTTGTTTTTATTTGAAAGTCAGATATATACAGAGGAGGAGAGACAGAGAGGAAGTTCTTCCATCTGATGATTCACTGCCCAAGCGGCCGCAACGGCCAAAGCTGAGCTCATCCAAAGTGAGGAGCCAGGAGCCTCTTCCAGGTCTCCCACGTGGGTGCAGGGTCCCAAGGCTGATGCCATCCTCGACTGCTTTGCCAGGCCACAAGCAGGGAGCTGGATGGGAAGTGGGGCTGCCGGGATTAGAATAGGTGCCTCTATGGGATCCTGGCATGTGCAAGGCGAAGACTCACCGGGCTGGGCCCTATCCTTCATCTATTATTAATTGGTATCTGTGTGATAACATACAGACACTAATTCACAATGGTGGGGTACTTATGGTTGTCTTATTTGTACTTGTTACTGCTGGTGGGTTTGTCCTTGTAGTTTTCTGAGCATTTTTTGTTGTTGTTCACAGTTTGATGCTCTGTTTAGGAGTGCTGGTAGGAAGCGTTGTGATGACTTCTTGGGGAACTGTCCTCTGTTTCACCACATACCCCTTGTTACTTTTATGATCTAAATCTTGAAGAGTCTGAATGTTGCAGTTCCAGGTCCCATTGGATTGATGCTACAATGAACTATCTTTATGCATATGTTATTCCTAATTTATGTCTGTCTATTTTATTGATTGTTCAGTGTAAGGCACACGTTTTTCAAGTGCTAGGCTAAACACACATCATTTATGCATTTTTATTTATGTTTTAAAGATTTATGAAAAGCAGATTTGCAGAGAGAAGGAGAGACAGGGAAGATCTTCCGTCTGCTGGTTCACTTCCTAAATGGAAGGCAGGTCTAGAGATTCAGCCCAGGTGACCTGAACCCCGCTGGATCCCCACACTGGTGCTCATGAACCTGGCACCCACCACGCAGGTGGGTCCCAGGACCTGGACCAGGTGACTTGAGCCCTGCTACATCTCCTGCCTCTGGGGCTCATGAACCTTGCATCTACCTGGCAGGTAGACCTCAGGACCTGGCCACGTGGCCTGAGCCTCACCAGATCCGTCGATCCCAGGCTCATGAACCTGGCACCCACTTCACAGATGGACCCAAGGGCTTGAGCCAGGTGACCCAAGTATGCTGGGTTGCCTGCCCCCCAGGCTAACAATCCCAGCACCCACATATACCAGGTTGGCATGGCCCACCTCACCTCATCCTCTATTGCCATTGCATATCCTGTGTAAGTCCAGTCTGTCCCTAGTTCCAGTGCCTGCTGTTTGGGTGTTACAACCTAGCCCAATCCAGCATGATCCCTGTCCTGGCTCTAATGTGAAGTGGCTGGTGTTGCTGCCCAACCTGGCCTCCCTGCATGCACTCTGTTCTGGTTCTCAGATCTGCCAGTGGATGTTATGAACAGACTCAGGCTGGTCTGTCCCCAGACCTAACCCAAATATGTGTTGGTGGGTATTATAACCTGGCATGGCCTGGGCAGCTCGTTGCCTTGGTTCTTGCGTTCACCTGCAGGGACTGCATCCTGAGGAAGGAGTTTCCCAGGCTCCTCTATTGAGTCTCCTCCCAGTGATAGATCTTGTGTACCACAGTAGGTCCTTAACCAAGGTTGACTTTGTCCATCTCTTGTCCTGGCAGGAACAGTGGCCTTGTTCAGTAAGCACACACCCATTCTGGTTCTACTGTTGAGTGTTGCAGTCTAATCACACCTGCTCCACGCCCACACACCTTTCATGTGGTTCACTGGTAGAAAAGACCTAGCCCAGCCCGTCTGACACCTACCCTGGCTTTCATGAGTACCAGTGGGTGCTGGAGTGTTGCCCAATCTGCTGCTCCCTAGACCCCTTCCTCACCCTTGCTGAAGAAGGCTGTAGCCATGTCCAGCCCAGACTCAACTGGGATGTCCCCTTAGCTCCCAGCCAGGCCTAATCCCATCCACAGCTCTAGGGTGTGCCAGTAGCAATTGCAGTTCCACAGGGCTGAGTCCACATATCCCTCACAGATCCTGCTGCCAGACCCGATTTTTTACTTGCTAGGTGTTTTCATGGCCCATCTAAAATCACCACTCCACTGTTCCAGTTCTCACTGGTGGGTACTGTGGTCTTGCTCTACCAGCTATGCCAAATGCTAGCTTTTGTGTGTGCCAGTGAGTGGTTCTGTGTGATGGGTGATGGTTGAAGCTAATTACCCCAGCTCAGGTCTCTCACATGTGCTGGAATTTCGCATGACCCTTAAATGCCCTCGTGTTCCTGCCTCCTAACCATTTTGGTCTCAGCCCCTTGCTTACCCACACATATAGTGGCCTTATCCATAGGTCTCCCTCAGTTCTTGACCTGGTCAATTCCCCAGACCCTCTTCAGATCAACACCTCCAAGCCCTCAGAGTTTGCCACCAAGAGACCTGAAGGCTTCATCCAGTGCCGTTGGCACCCGGGCAACCCAGGCAGCTGCCTGACCCGGACAGGAGAGTTCCCTGACCATTGATGTCACCGGTGACTGCTCGAGCAGCTGCCTGACCCTCCCAATGTATTTTATAATTTCTATTATTGCGTTCTTTTACATCCTGAGTTAATCCCAAGATATTTTGTGTTCTCATAGCTATTATCAGGATAGAGTGTTCCAAAATGTCTTTCTCAGTCAGTTCCCTGTTCATTTGTAAAAGTGCTTCTGATTTGTTTGTGTTCATCTTTATCCTACAGCTTTACTAAATTTATTTCCCAATTCTTGATAGCTCCATTAGGTTTCTCTAAATAGAATTAAGTTTTTTTGACAAGAGAAAACATCTTTGCAATTGCTGTACTTTTTATTTTCTTTTCTAGACTATTTTATTTGGGCAAGTCTTCAGTTGAATAACGTGGAGAGTTTTTATCTACTTCCAAATCCTGCAGAAAATGTGTTTTTTTTTTTTTTTGGTGGGGGGTATCAAATAGTATAATGGGCTTTTCATATATATGCTTTATTTTATTGAAATATGTACCTTCTATAACTATTCAAAGTTTTCTGAAAAATGTCCACAGAATTGTATTAAAGCTTGTACAACTCAAGGTGATTCTAATGATGCTTATCCTGTTGAGTGTGATGTGTTTGGTTATTAATTTGTGTATATTGACTCCATACATCCCCAGGTTATAGTTGACTTGATTATAACGTATCAGTTTTGATATGTTGGAATGCTTTTACATCTATTTGGATAAGAATGTTTGTGTCTATATTCGTCATGCAGAGTCAGAAATCTTTGAAATTCAAGTTCATTCTGGGTTTGGAATCTAGACATTGCTGTCCCTGTAGTGTAAGTTTGGAAGGATTACCATCAAACTCGTAAAATAATTCTAGAAAGATGTGTATTGCTTTCTTAAAAAAAAAAAACATTTTACTGTGGTTGACTCTTAAGTCATTAGGTGGTGAGTTTTCATTTGGATACTGCATACTCCTGACTGAGTGTTGTGACTTCCTATTAGTCTAGTCAGGTTTTCAATGTCTTTCTGGTTCAATTTGTCAGGTTATATATTTCTGTAAATTAACTTTGTCCTCAAATTTGTGGTTTAACAGTTGCTGTTAGTAGTCCCTAGTGATATTTTGTTTCTGTTATGTCAATTGTAATATATTCTCGTTATGGATTTGATTTAGTTATGAGTCTACATTTTCTTAATCTGGCTAAACATTTATTTACTTTTTAAAAAAAAATAGCCAATGTTTTTACTTTATTTATCTTTTATGTTGAAAGAGATAGTGTGTGAGGTGTGAATGTGCACGCAGGCCAGCTGGGAGGCAGATAGGTCAGCTAACGCTCTACGTTTTTCTGAGAGTTAGAAAATAATATAATCCCTACCCTTCAATATGTTATTATTCTGCTGCACCTCTGATTTGTAAAGCTACATTGGATTTCCAGAAGGGGCCAGAGAGAGTCACTTCATGTTTCTAAAGGGCAAAAAGTGACAAGTCTCTTGGCAGCTCCTCCCTTGGCTCCCCGTCCCGAATGCTGTGACAGGTGGCTTCTCACTTTTAATATTTCATGTTCTGTGCACTGTCCTCGACCATGTCAACATTTTTCAACACGAGACAAGGACAGAATTACACATATCTTCCTCCCCATAATGATAAGATTCTTTCAGTTCATCTTGGTTATTTTATTGTGCCGCCCCTGGATTTGTCTCCTTGGGTTTTGCTTTGTTGTTAATTCATTTGTTGGTTGTTTCTTTCACTGATTGTTTTTCCTTGGGTTCTAGAGATGAGAACTTAGGTTCTTATTTGATGTTTTTGTTTGTTTGATTGCTTCTTGGCCTTTTGGCCAAGATCAAATATAGATGTTTGGACACATAATGACGTCACTTTTAGTATCTGGACTTCCATAATAATGGTGGCTGCCTTCTTGTTGGCTGCAGGAAGATAGGCATAAATAAGTATAAGGCTAAGGTTGCCACACAAAAACCATTGCATATTTGTCTTAAATCGTAGGAATTATACAACATTATGGAATTAATGTTGTATAATGATACTGAGGCCTTGTTGGGGCTTTTAACTGACTGGATCTTTACTCTGTTAGACCTATCTTCAGACCATAGAAGGTCTCCCCAAGAGGCCACTGAACTTATCTGGACAATAAGACGCTGAACTTTATGCTAGGCATGTGTTTGCAAGCAATGAATCTCAACTGAACTTGAACTATGGTTATGCAACAAGGTGGAGGAATCCACCATGGGAGGAGGGGTATGGGAGGGGTGGGGGGGATCCCCAGCGCCTATAAAACTGTACTACATAATATAATGTAAGCAACAATAAAAAAAAAATAAATAAAAAATAAAAAAAAATCGTAGGAATTTATTTCTTATAGTTCTAGTGATTGAAAATTTAAGGGCAACGTATAGCAAGTTTTATTTCCCCAGATGTCTCGCTCCCTGGTTGCAGCAGTCACCATCTTGTTGTACCCTTACATGTCATTTCCCCTGTGCAGATGCGTCCTTTTGTGGGGAGGCTATGTTAGTTTAAATCAAGGTTTCACAGCCTGTGAAATCATTTGTTGATGTTAATAACCTAAAGAATCTGCAAATAAAATCAAAGTGGAGGTCAGCACTTCATGACACAACTTTTGGGGGCCTAATGATGTGCTGCTAGGCAGCTTTCTCTCTGAGTGCAGTAGCCTAGTGGCTAAAAACCTTGCCTTGCACTTGCCAGGATCTTGTATGGGCACCAGTTCTAATCCCTGCTACTCCACGTTGCATCTAGCTACCTGCCTGTGGCCTGGCAAAGCAGCAGAGGACAGCCCAAAATTGGGTCCCTGTACCCACGGGAGGGACCCAGAAGAAGCTCCCGGCTCCTGTCTTCGGATCGTCTCAGCTCCAACTGTTGCAGCCACTTGGGGAGTGAATGGAAGTGGACAGAAGATCTTTTCCACATTCTCTCCTCCTCTGTGTATATCTGCCTTTCAAATAAAAATGAATATCTCTTTTAAAAAAATGAATAGTGGGGCTTCTAATAGCTTCCCCTTCAAAATAATCCTTAAAATCAATGCATGCATATCTGCCTTTCAAAAAAAAATGTTTCTTTAAAAAATGAATGCAGGAGCTTCTAATAGTTTCTTTTTATTGAAAATCATTGTCCAAATAGGTGCAAGCATGAACACATAACCACATGTGTGTATACATGCACACACACCCATGAAATGTTTGCTGACTGTATGCAGGAAGGCAGAGTGTTCCACAGAAAACATACTAGAAAACATTACGATGTGATCCTAAGTAGAAAGAATGAGAAAAGGGAGTGTTTGTGTTACATGGTGTTTCTGATTTTTAGAAAAAAACTGATATACGAGAGATTAAACAGTGCATAAGAATTCCTTATAATCCTTCAGAACTGTCAAGATGAGAGATGTTTTCTTAGACCTTGAGTAAATGGTACATGAGAAGATGCACTTCCAAAGTCATAAATCTTAAACACCATTGTAGCACAAATTAAGTTAATGTTTCTGGTTTCCTTGTTGTGTAATCTGCCTAATTAACCCCTTGGAAAATCATTGTGCATCTTCTGCTCTTGAAGAAGCACTTACAATGCTTTGGTTCTGAAAGTAATCATTAGGTCTGTTTTGCTTTTCTTTTCCTCATTTGTGATTTATTTATTTGAAAGTGTTAACAGGGGAGGGAGGGAGAGGGAAAGACAGTGAGACTTCCGTCCACTGATTCCCTCACCAAATGAAAGTCACAAAAGTTTTCATTGTTCAAAGGTTTGAAAGGAGACCAGGGCTGTTTTGGGGTCTTTCGTGTAATGTAGGTGCTGCTTTCTCAGGCATGGTAGCAAGCAGTGGATCAGAACTTGAGCTGCTGGGTCTCAAACTGGCACACGTGGGGGATTCCAGCGTAACAGGCAGCTGCTTTACTTACTATACCACCACTACCACCATGCTGACCCCATCTGTCTCTCTCTCTTAGGTTTAGTTATTCATTTGAAAAGCAGAGTTACAGAGACAGAGAGGGAGAGAAAGAGTCAGATGATCTTGCATTTGCTGGTTCGTTTGCAAGTGGCTAGAATGGCCAAGCTGAGCTGGGTGCAAGTCAGGAGTCAGGAGTTTCCTTGGGTCTCTCACATGGGTGTAGGGGCGCAAATACTTGGGCTGCCTGCTGTTGCTTTGCCGAATACTATATGACAGAAACTGGAAAGGGGACTAAAAGTGCAGATCCTGCTGTAACAAGTTAAGCTTTGTTAGGTAGTTATCGGCAAATGGATGGGTTGACAGATGGAATTCAGGATTTCTAGTCAAGTAATTAACGTTGACTGACACTTTGATATTTTCACAAGGATTTTGAAATGCACCCCACCTTAATACTTACTACTTTATGAAGCCATTGTGTTTCCAGGACACACTGTACGCTACTGGTTCAGGCATCTTTAAAATGATCCGTTGGTTATTTTCATGAACAGTTTGCAAAATACGGTATCAAATAAATGTTTCTCTGAACCTAACAGTGGCTGTGTTTCATCTCTCCCACTCAGAATAATTGTGAGTGTTCCCTTAAGGACGTCTTTTGTGTCTCTTCTCATGGGTAAAGCACTGTTCCTGAACGGGAGAGCTCACTGGTTTTGCCTTTTCTGAGAAGGTGTGTGTTACTCTGTGTTTGTTTCCATCATGATCTTGCTTTGCAGTGTAGAATCTAGGAGCAAGCCAGACCAGCTCTCTCACAAGTTTTCCAATTCACTTTCTTTTCTAGATATGATTCTAGAGCACTGTGTATGTATTTAAGAACCAAGAAAATGACTACCTCTCCAGTAAGTTCTCTATGTTTTTATTGCTCGGTGTATTGTATATTGTGCTTTTAGACCTTCGTGAGGATTGTATAATTTAAAAAAAAAGTGAAAGTAAATACAATTTGGTGAGAGAAACTATGTAAATGAGATCAAGTTTGTTTTTTTTTTTTTTTAATGTTTGGAATCTGCTAGAGTTGTCTCAGCTGTTTCTAAATTGATCTCTGTTTATTCTGATGTCATGCCAGAAACGCAGACATATTTGCTACATAGTTCAAACGAAAAGTTAGCAAAATTCACCAAATATTATGGGACATAGAGTCTGAGGACATGGTGAGAAGCTGACCATCTTGAAACTACCAGAAGGAACTCAGGAGAAGTCAAATCTGCATGTAGCGTGTTTTTGAACTTTCGTTGTACAGGCTATGGGAAAACGAACTGCTGTTATTTATGTCACTCCTCTATAGTATTTTTTTAAAGGATTTATTTATTTTTACTGCAAAGTCAGATATATATGGAGAGGAGGAGAGACAGAGAGGAAGATCTTCCGTCTGCTGATTCTCTTCCCAAGTAGCCACAATGGCCAGTGCTGTGCCAATCGGAAGCCTGGAGCTGGGAGCTCTTCCCCAGACCTTTCCAGGTCTCCCACATGGGTGCAGGGTCCTAAGGCTTTGGGCCGTCCTTGACTGCTTTCCCAGGCCACAAGCAGAGACCTGGATGGGAAGAAGGCCTACCGGGATAAAACCAGTGCCCATATGGGATTCCGGGCACATTCAAGACAGGATTTCAGCCCCTAGGCCACTTGACTGGGCCCCATAGTATTATGAGTGTGGCTGTAGCAAACATATGCTATCTTGTTGCATTCCTTTTATTCAGTTGGTACATATTGATTTTGTGCTTTAACTTGTTACTAATTGCTAGAATGTAGCTGAATGAGATATTCATCACAATATGCTTGGAGTTGCACTGCACTACATCCTATGTGATATATGGACTTTAAATTGAATAGTTCCATTTGTTTAAATTATGATCATTTTTATATATACATATTAAAGATTTATTTATTTTTATTGGAAAGGCAGATGTACAGAGAGGAGGAGAGACAGAGAGGAAGATCTTCCATCCGATGGTACACTCCCCAAGCGGCCTCAATGGTTGGAGCTGAGCTGATCTGAAGCCAGGAGTCAGGAGCTTCCTCCAGGTCTCCCACATGGGTGCAGGGTTCCCAAGGCTTTACACCATCCTCTGCTGTTTTCCCAGGCCACAGGCAGGGAGCTGGATGGGAAGCAGGGACGCTGGAATAACAACCGGCGCCCATATGGGATTCCAGGCGTGCAAGGCGAGGACTGTATCCACTGCGCTATCATGCTGGGCCCTACCATTTATATTTTTATATTTCCACAGTGAGTCGACTTATGAGTGACTCACCTGATGTTTTGTTTCAAATAATCATCCCTTTGAAGATGTTGAGCACACTAAAGGCTCAAGTCCTTCACTTTTACCCACTGATCTGATCATCATTGTAGGGATGATGATTCTTCTTCATGGGAGCAATGATCTAAGTCCTTTCCTGCCACCCTGGTGAACTTTTCAGCGTTCTCTAGTATAGCTCAGCTTGTGATTAATTATGCTAGGTTTTCATTGGTTGGGCAATGTATCATTCTTTACATTAATGTGCAGATACATTTCTTTGGGTGACAAAGTGACAGAAATATCTAACTTTTTTATTTGTTTGCCTAAATGCTCAAAGCCTGAAGTCAGTCCAGGTTTCCTATGTGCTTGGTTTGGGCTGAAGTACCTTGATCACCACCGGCTGTCTCCCTGCGTGTGAATTCAGGCAGAGGCAGGGCAGGTGATGTGCATCCCAGGGAGAGCCCTCACCCACTGAGCTTTAATATGTACCCCTGTTCAACTCATACTTTACAGTAATTCCATTAGATATAGTGTCGGGGTAGAAGGATGTTTTCCTTTAATCCATTGTGAATATCTTCCCATTGTTTCTGAGAAGGCAGCCATGATTTAGCATGCACTGATCTGTAAAGTAGTAGTGTCAAGATTAATGAACTGTAATAAACAAACTGTATATTTCTTCTAAATCCCAAGACAAATAAGGTATTATATTGCTGGATTCTGAGTGTGTCAGTTGGACCTCATTAAGAAAGAATGTGATTTATGTGATGTTGTACCTGGGTTTCAGGTGAAAGGTGGATATAATTAGTATGTTTGCAAGACTAACAAAATGGCACAACTGTTGAGGGGTCTCAGTTTCCCGTTGAGTAAATGCACGGTGGCTGTTTAAAAAAAGCAAACTCATGTTGAGGCAATTTTGGGCAACCATGGAACAGAACATGTTACCCAATTGTGAAGTATCAATACACCTACTGATTTGTGTTTTGGACAGAATGAAAAGCATTAGTGTTGTTTCTAATGTGTGCGGGGTACGATGGACTTGCCATAACCGCTGTGTGAGGATGGACTGATGTGATTCATGGACTTTTTTTGGGAGTCTGAGAATCTCGGGGACAGTGAGCCTGGTTATTAATAGGTAGTAAGTGGCTCCTGGCGTCTGAAACACTTCCACATTCAAGATGTGCATCCACTCCTGCTCTCCTCGGCTGGTAGACTGGCTTTTACTAGCACATTGTGTTTGTGGAACAAGAAATGATAGGGCACTGAACCAACCAGCGCTCTCAGAAGTGATAAAATGGATTTCTGCTGGCATTTCCTTGACCAGAGTGCATTGGTCTTGTCCAAGTTCTTCCAGGCTACAAGGTGTGATCCCATGTGTGTGATCTTTGTACAAGCAACTGTATGGGAGATGAGTAGGCATTGGATTCTGCTTTCCTCTTAGCTTCATCCCATATACTAGGAGACAAGCCTTAAGTTCTCCTTGCTTTGTCACTTTACATTCCAATCCTGAATATGTGGATGGCACCAGGAACTGGTGAACTCTTGAGGCATAGTTTCTTCTGAAGCATACACCTGTGTCCCAAGCAGAAAAGCCGTCCTAAGCACTCTTCCTTTTCTGTGTGCAAAGTCAGTGCATTCAGCAGAATGAAAATTACCACAGTGGGTATTTCTTAAAGGATTGTTTATTTTCCTTTTCTAAAAGAAAAGATTTAAGATTCAGAGAACAGGAACATCATTTCAGGCAGATTGCCCAGTTTAAGAAAACGTATTGGGGTGACCTCTAATTTTTTACCTTTTTTGTTTTTTTTTTTTTTTTAGCTTTTCAAGGTGCCACTGTCTGCCTTGTGAAATGCCTTTCATTTCTCCTGTCCATGCTGCACTTGCTGTCATAGACCTTTCAGAGCATGCACTCCGTGCCTGAGTTGTTCTGTTTCCGTGCTTCTGTCTGTAACCTAACGTGGCTCCTCACAGTCAAAATGCCGCATTTTTAAAGTTCTTTTGGGTGGTTGTGAGAGTGGAGCTATAAACCTTGTACTTTACCTTAATGTTTGGGACTATAACTAGGTTTCAGTATTTTAAAGCATGACTTTTTGGCTTTTTTTGAATTCATTTATTTTTATTGCAAAGTCAGATTTACATAGAAGAGAGACGGAAAGATCTTCCGTCCACTGGTTAACTGAGCCAATTCAAAGCCAGGAAGCAGGAGCCTCTTCTGGGTCTCCCATGTGGGTGCAGGTTCCCAAGGCTTTGGCTTCTTCTCTACTGCTTTCCCAGACCACGAGCAGGAAGCTGAAAGGGAAGTGGAATAGCAAGGAAACCCATGGGATATGGGACTTAGGGTGTGTAAGAGAGGACATTAGCCACTAGGTTACTGTGCTGGGCCCTAAATATTGACTTATTGTCTACTTCTCTTGTTATTTAAAACAGTTCGGAGATGTACTTACTTCTTCACCTTTAAGCAAATGAACAATTCTAACAATTTATTTGTGGACCATGGCTCTCAGGGTCATATTTATTTTAACATCATCATTGACTTCCATACGATTGTTCTTGATTCTGTAAGCTTGTTCCATGAGGTTTCACCTACTGTGCTCAAATTGTTCTTGATAAAATAGTAAGCATTTGAAAATGGTTTGTTTCATTAATTCAGTTTTGCACATAAAGAGCTCATCAATTATCATTTCCTCATTTGCGTTTTCTGCCCACTTGAACAATACTCACAACATCAGCTTGTACAGCTTTTTAAATGATTATTATTATTATTATTTTATGATACAGTTCCATAGGCTCTGGGATTTCCCTTATACCAATCCCAAAATCCCCTCCCAAACTGATTTTACCTATGTAATTACTGTGTTATAGTTTTTCATTAACAGTTATCTAATTCCTTATTGTGGAAATGGACAATGGCAGAGTCCAGCATTCTGTTGTCACGATATATTTAACAGTTTTATTGGGAGTCTATCTTTGCTGTGGAAGTAGAGATGCATACTACATTGTATCCTGACATCTGGATCTGTGGTCTCCATACACAGTTACTAAATAAAAACCACACACAAAAAAAGCAGCAATTGGAACAGAAATAGAAATTTACAGTGCCATAAAGTTAAATAACATGGTACTGAATGAGTAATGTGTCACTGAAGAAATGAAAAAGAAAATCAACAACATTCTTGAGGAAAATGATGCTTTTGTGTTACCTATGAGTCGTTGGAGAATTTAGTATGAGAAAAAAAATTTTCGAAAAATAAAAACATCAAAATCCATGAGATACAGTTTCTGCTGAGCTTTGTTGGTGAGATGTGTCTCCTGTAGGCAACAGATAGATGGGTTTTGTTTTTTTAAATCCAGTGTGACATGTGATTGATGAGCTTAAGCTCTTTACATTCAGGATTAATACAATGGGAGATATGTTGGTCCTCTCGTTTTAGCAATGTTTTATTCATTGTTTCATTTATTCTTCTCTTGTTATTTTAATGGAATGTTCTTTTGGTGGGTGCTGTTACTTTGCTCTGTCAAGAAAACATCTTTTTTTTTAATATTTCCTTTTTAAAAATTATTTTCATTTTTTATTATTTTAGATGATGTTTAAATAGTGAATCAGGGTGGGAAGGATCTAGGGTTAGGGAGAAGTGTGTGTGATCATTGTTTCCAAACTTTCTCTTTCTTCTTCCCGTTTCTCGGGGGAGGATATAAGAGGATAGGCCATACTGGCCTCTCAACCATCCCAGTACCTAAGGCCACCCAATATCAACCCTGAGTCTCAGTGAGGCACATGCTTTGAAGATTCTGCACAAGTGTATGCAATAGTTTCAAAATGCTGTCAAGCTTGCCCATCTATGGATGAAGAATTCCTTCTAAAGTCCATTGGCTGACACAATTGACTTTATAGTCTCCAGCTGCCCAGGTATTTGCTGTCATTGTTTGCTGGGGTAATTGTCCATCTGTTCTGTTCTCAGTGCTCTGCTATGGTACCAGATGTCCTCCGCAGGCCCCAGTGGACTGCCATGTCCTCTGTGTGCACCATGGTGTACTGTCCAGCATCCATTCTTTACACTGAGGAGGCCACCTCTGGGGCTCATAGACCCAACACCCACCACACAGATGGGGCCAGTGACCTGGACCAGGAGACCTAGGCCCCTCTGTACCCCCTACTTCCAGGACTCAAGCATTAGGCACCCACTGGAGCAGTTGGACTCGAGACCATGAGCCATGTGACCTGAGACCAACTGGACCCCTACCCCCAGGGCTCACAAACCCAGCAGCCACCACTCACATGGGCCCACTGACCTGGTGCAGGAGACCCAAACCCTGCTGGACCCAGTACTTCTGGAGCTCATGGGTCTGGCATCAACCAAAAGGTAGATCCAGTGACCTGGGCCAAGAGACCCAGGCCTCTCCAGACCCTTTAGGCTCATGGATCTAGCACCCACTGTGCAGGTGGGCCCAAGGCCCTGGGACATGCAATCTTAGACCTACTGGAATCTCCACCCCCAGGACACACCAACCTGGCACCACCTCACAGGTGTGAGCCCAAGTGGTCCTCTGTCTCTAAGGCTCATGAACCCCGTCCCAGCACCTCAAGACTGACATGGCTCATGTCTCCTCAGCTTCCACCAATGGGTGCTTCAGCCCAATTCGAGCCAACCTGCCCCCACTTTCAGCTTGTGCTGGTTGGTATAGCAGCCTAGCCTTGACCAGTCAACACCAAGTTCTGGCTTGGATGTGAACTGGCTGGTGTTGAGGTGTATAGGTCAGGTCTGGAAGGGGAATATTCTTTGAGTTTTACTTTATTATTGAAGAATTTTCTTTCATTTTCAAAGACGAAGGAAAGCTGCTGGGTATATTATTGTGAGCTGACAGTTTTTTTTCCCACTAGGAATCTGGAATATATCACTCCATTTTATTTTGACCTGTGGAGTTTCCTGTAAGAGGTCAGGTGTGAATCGGATTGACATGCCTCTGTATGTCAGTTGTTTTTTTTCACATGTACAATTAAGGATCATTTCTTCCTTCCTTTCTTTTTTTTTACTGAAGAAACTTTGATTATCATGTTGTGGTGAAGATCTCTTTTGACCAATGCTCTTGGGAGTTCTGTGCCCTCCTGTTTTCTGTTTCCCAGTTCTTTCTCCAGGTTAGGGAAATTTGTCTTTATTATTCCGTTAAATATATTTTTAAACACAGCTTTTCTTTTTATTCATCTTTCATCTTTTGCAGCTTCCATAAGTATTTTATTTGGCTTTTTAATAGATCCCTTAATACTTCGATTGTTTTCTTTGAATCGGTTCTTGTTCCAGCTTTTTTGATTGTTTCACCCTTGTGTCCTGAAATATCTTCTGATTCTGAGATTCTTCTGCTTCATTCATTCTGTTATGCAGACTTTCCACTGAATTTTCTTGGTCTCCTGGGTGTGCTTCTCATTTTTGACAAGAAGCTTTATAATAGATGTTTTGAAGTTTTGGTGTCTTTTTTTTTTTTTTAAGATTTATTTTATTGGAAAGGCAGATATACAGAGAGGAGGAGAGAGAGGAAGATCTTCCATCCATTAATTCACTCCCCAAGTGACCACAACAGCCTATGCTGCGCCGATCCGAAGCATGGGTGCAGGGTCCCAAGGCTTTGGGACCATCCTCAACTGCTTTCCCACAAGCAGGAAGCTGGATGGGAAGTAGGGCTGCTGGAATTAGAACCAGCACTATATGGGATCCAGGTACTTTCAAGGTGAGGACTTTAGCTGCTAGGCCACTGCACCGGGCCCAATGTTTTGAAGTTTTTATCCCCATTTTTGGTGTCTTCCTCAGTTATGTATAAGGTTAGAAAAGGCTTTTGCTGCTTTGCAGGGAAGTCTTCAGTAATGTTCGTTGTGCCTCTGTCTCTTTCTTTGCTCTTGCTCATTGTACTACTAGTTAATGTATTCTTCTCTGTAGGGCAGGTCTCTAAGCTATATCACCCACAGATCTAGAGTTTGATTTGACTTATTGTGGTTGGTTCCCAGTTCTTTGTTTGCAATCTCTTATGCTACTCCCTGCAGGGAGGTTCAAATCTGGATTCTTGCGTTAGGCTTTTGCCATGGTCTCTGTAAGCCCACCTTCTGTGATCCCATTCTTTGGTTGCAAAGTTGGTAGAAAACTTTCTCTGCCTTCCTGTACCAGTTTGAGCAGTTTCCAGGATCAGGGAGATACACCCAGGTGTCTTAAATAACTAGGTTGTTGGTAATGCTGATTTTGTCTGAACCTCCTCTCCGTTAGCCTGAGGTCTAGTCTAGCCTGACCTGTTTTGACCCAGTTGATGCCAAAGTTGGGTTTATTTCCCCTGTGAGACCTGTACAATGCACTAAATTGGAAGTGAGTTTTATCCCAGCTCAGCATGTGTGCAGATTACTGTTCTCTCTTTATTTCCTTTGCCACACTGCACAAAATGGCACTTTAATGTGCCACTGGTGTGGTTCTGGATCTTCTGGTGATTAAGTATGTGGGCTGCCCAGACTCATCTCGGGTGGATCCTGTAGGATGCAATATTGGTGCAATGCACTGAGCTAGAAATGAGGATGTACAGTCCCATCCCTGTAGCCATCAACTCCTTGCACAAAGGCCCACCAGATGTGGCTGTGTTGGCAGTTCTGACTGTGAAATCCACCCTATTCCTGCACCGACTGCTTCGTGTATACTGCTCTGTCTCTGCTCCTGCCCAAATTTAACGAATCAGGAAGATGGGCAGTTCTTTGGGTTTACCTGCTGAGCTCCAGGTGAAAACCCTTCCCACTTGGCTGCTGGTGCAGCTCCTGCCATTGGTGGAGCTCAGTTTTCTGCTCGCTGACTGCCACTGGGGTATCTGGTCACTGCAATGTGACAGCATTGTCTCTGCTGCTTTGCTGTGTGCATTAGTCTCCAGGTGCCTCTGCTGTTGGCCTGTCCCCTTCTATTTCCTGGAATGTACTCTGCTTCCTCGAGACTAATGATTCTCCCTGTGTTTAACCATGCACAGACCATCTTCTGTAATATTCATTCTCCGGTTGCACTGTTTTTTTAAAAATTTTTATTTCTTTATATTTAAATGATCTTACCTAGTTGATTAGGGTACAAAGGGTCAAGGGCTACTACAAAGTAGGTAATACCATTGTTTCCACACTAATATAATTTTTTCCCCTATATCTGGGGTCAGGGGAGAAACAAAGGGAAAAGCCCTACCCAGCCTCCCACCCAACCCAGGTTCCCAACGTGAGTCACGCACTGAGGATCCTGCTCAAGCAGTTTTGATAGTTCACCAGTTCTGAATTGCTGCCAATCTTGCCATTCCAATTGTGATGAAACCTATTCAGAATCTACTGGCTGACAGTGTCTTCATGGTTGGGGTTTTTAGATCAGAATGCATGAAATGCATTAACTGCACTTTGTTTTTTGGACTTTTACCATTTTACTTGTTTTTGCATCATATTTATGAGAACACATTCAGTGAGAAAATGGCGATATAGTTTATATTTTAGTGAATTTCAACCTGATAAAATGGCAGTATATTTGTAGATACACATATGTATGTTATTATGTTACTTCAACGTCAGAATAAGAAAAAGAAAATGAAAATGAGAGAATCTTCTACTTTCATTTGGCATGAATGCCCAGAACTGGACTAGCCTGAGTCTGGTGTCAGGAGCTTGCTTGCAGGTCTCCTACATGGATGCAGAGGCTCAAGGACTAGGACTTTTCAGCTGCTCTCCTGGGCGGTGAACGGGCTGGATAAAAGGTGGAGCAGCCGTGATCTATATGGGATGCTGACAGGGCAAAAGAGAATTAGCATGCTATGCCACCTCACCAGGCCCACAATATCTATTTAAAACACAAATTCTTTATCCTGCTTCATACTGAGTATGTGTATGCTTGAGTCTATAAATTGCATTCTGAGTACCTTTCTGATTATTCAAAGGATGAATTGCAAATCAAAAGGAATCTGATTTTTAAATTATATAACTGATATAGAGAATATTTTATTTTCATGTGATTTTGGTTTCTGTTTCCATGTTGATTACAGAAATAGCTGCTTCCTGTGTCACAAGTAAATATAACTCACAGAAGAATATGGTCTGGGTTTTTTTACTTTTGTGGCAGATGTAACATTGGGAAGAAATGTGCTCTTTTAGGTTTTAGTGTCATTTGAAGATTTGGCTGTGGACTTCACCTGGGAGGAATGGCAAAATCTGAACCCTGCCCAGAGAATCCTGTACAGAGATGTGATGCTGGAGACCTATAGCAGCCTGGTGTCCTTGGGTGAGTGTCATTCCACTGACATGCCCAACTGGATTTTCCCCCATTTGACTACTGTAGGAGCCTGTTGCAAGTTTAACTCTGGCTGAGTCCTGTATTTGAGTTCATGAAGAATCTGAGCATCTACACACTCGGAGATAATTAATACTAGAACTTGTGTTGTCTACCTAGTAGATGAGGATTTTTTTCCCACCTCCATTAAAATCCAAGTTTGTGATTTGACAAAGTCTTATGTTATTCCTCATGAGCAGGATACCGCGTGACCAAACCTGACTTGATCGTGAAATTGGAACGAGGAGCAGAGCCATGGATAGTGGAAGAATGCCTAAACCAGAGCCTCAAAGGTCAGTCAGCACATGCTTGCTAAGCAGATAGTTCCAGAAAAAAAATAAATGTTCACTGAAACTCTTCTCACTAATTTTTTTCTGATGTCCTAGTGCTTGTGACATCTGGATAAGGCATCAGACACAGGCTTTCTACCACTTCCATTGAAGGTTGTCGTTAGCATATCTGCACCTCTTTGGTATTGGTGAAAACATCTTTCTTTAAAAGCAATTACTTCTTTGCTCTAGGAGTGCTTCATTTTTTTTTTTCTAGCTTACTGTCCATAAATTCTAGCCTATTTTTCTCTCCACTTTCATTCTTTGATTTTCATCAGGAAAATTTTTGTATATATATTAATTCTTTCTATTCTAATATTTTTGGAACTGAATGAAATTGGTTTCTTCTCTTTTGCTCTGATTGAGTTCCCAGTTTTGGCTGCAGTGCAGCCTAGAGCTTAGTATGGCAATTGCTTCTCGGCTTTTTGGCTAAGATCAAATGTAGAGTTTAGTATGGCAAACATTTTAGTACTAAACCAATAAGTATATCTCCTTCTTCATCTTCTTATTTTCCTTATTCACATTCTTCTATCATCATCTTCCTCCTCCTCCTAATCCCTCTTCCACTGCCTCTGAATTCAAATAGAAAGGAAACATTTGAGGCTTGAATCAGTGCATGTGAGTTCTTTATCTGTTATTTTCTCATTCTGTATTTCACTGATACTTAAAAAAAATGACCAGAGAGGGTCATGCGCATCCTTGGTATTTTGATATCATACATGGTAAATCTGGAGCCAGCACTGTGGCATTTGCCCTACTAATGATCTAGCTCCATGATAAAGCATCTCACATAGCATCAAAAGGTGATCCAAATTCTTGGATCCTTACACACAGAGCAGGAACGATCATAACAACGTGAAACCAAGGCTTCCTATCCCTTAAATTCATAAGAAGAGTATATCCAGAGGGAAGTATGGAAATGTTCCTTCTCTAGGTATGTGATTCTGAGAAGCCATATATAACAATTTCTCATAGATATATGCTGAAAGATTTTATCATTCTTTTCTAATTTGAAAATTCCATTGATCTCTATAGCTGTTCCCCTGATATATGGAACCTGAGGTAATTATACTTTAAAGTCCTATTTCTAAGAATTTCCTGCTTAAATGTACATATATGTTCCTCCCCTATATTTTAAAATAACAAATCCAATAAAAGTTTCCCACTTAAAATTTTATTTGAAAATTCGACTTTAGCAGTGTAGTGTGATGGCACTGTTGGTTAATCCGGTGCTTGCAAGTGCCAACATCATATATGGAAAATGATTCTTGTCCCAACTATTACAGTTTCATCTACCACCCTGCATTGTGTGTGAAAACAAGGAAGGATGGATTAATTCTTGGGGCCTGCACTCGCGTGGGAGATGCAAGCAGCTCATGGCTCCTGGCTTTGCAATAGCTCAACTCCAGCCTCTGCCAGAATTTTGACAATGAACCAGGGAACACACAATCTTTGTCTTTCCTTCTCTTTGAAAATCTGACTTTCCACTAAGTACATATATGCATGTCATATAGCAGACTAACCAAAGAGAAAGAGGTAAATATACAGATTATGAGGTATAGAGATACTTCTACTGCTCCATTTCCTATGTTATCCTATATTCCTAGGACTAATACCAGGCAGTTCAATCAGAAGTCCAGCAACCAGGACTCTTGTTTAAAGCCTTGTGGTATGTTACTGCTTTGAGTAGTAGCTACATCCAGTGAGCCATAATGAGCTTCAGTTTTGAGGCTGAAAGATTGGCAGAGAAAAACATAAATGAAGTTGCTGCCCAAAAAAACCAACAAGAATCGAAAGAAAACTAAATGCTTTTGAGAAAAATAGTGCAGAAATCTTTTACTAATTATTTCAGCTTTTTAAAACAATCAGATTCGATACATTTCTAATTTTTCATCTGGATGGCCAAATGATGGTGAAGCTGAAAGACACAGAGAGAAAGAGACAGACAGAGACAGAGCAAAGAATGAGTGAGATAATGAGCACTGTTTTCTATTGATTGGATCACAATCCAAATGAGTGCTTCAAGAGTTAATTCAGTCTGAAGCCAAAGGCCTATCTAGAATTGTGTTATGTTGTGGATGTATCAGTAATCACATCTCATACTGGAAGCAAAGTTACCACGACGCAAACTGGAACTATATGGGATATAGATGTCCCAATCCCTGACCTAACATATCCATCCAGAGATATTCATCCATCAATGGAAAGTATTTCATGTACTGAACAAACATCCTGACAGTGAACATTGAGAAATACATTGGCATAATATATTGTTTGAGTTCATTTAGGAGGAAGACCACACACTTCTCAAAGGCTCAGAGGACGCTTCATTGCCTTTATGTGACAGTTCCATGGGAAGCACTTAAAGGAGCTCATGAATATGACTATGTTTTTCTCATTTCAGTTGCCCAGGAAAAAGATGACTTGATTGAGATCAACAGGGAAAGCCAAGACATAAGATGTATGATTACAGACAGCATGTTCTCTTACAATGGAGTTGACTCAAGAGAGACACTTGATTTCCATGTTCCAAAACTGATCATCAGGAAGTCAGATTGTCCTGAAATGAGTTCTGGGGCCTGCAATACATTTCACAATATGCGTCTTCGTAGGGTGCTGTGTGAGGTACAGCGACCTGGAGTGAAATTAGATGCTGCTACCATGCCTGGAGGTTTTTCTCATGGCTTAAACTCTGTTGGTCAGCATCACAAGATCCAGGCTGTGCGGAAGCCATTTGAACACCATGAACAAAGGAAAACTCTCCAAAGGAAGGTGTTCTTTATATTTGAGAGGGATTGTGCGAGAAATCCCTTTCCTGAGTCAACTCTTAAAGGAAAAGATATTCAGATTGGTGCTGAAACTTTACATGAAAATTCTGTTGAGCAAACCCACCCAACAGTGAATCTCCGTGAGTCTCTCAAGTGTGAGAAAGATGTGAATTGCAAGTCCTATCTGACAGTGACTCGGACATCAGGCACAGGAACAAAATCCAATGAATGTGATTGCTGCAAAAACTGCTTCAAGTATAAATGCTTCCTAGCCATCCATCACAGAATTCACAAGGTGAAAAATGATTGTGACAAATTTCAAAACAACTACTCCTGGCTGTTAGACCCCAGAATACATCAAAGAATTCACAGAGGGGAAAAGCCTTTTGAAGGTAGTGAGTTTGGAGAAGACTTTTCCCAGAAGTCACACCCCCTAAGCCATCAGAGAACGCAGACAGAGGAGAGATCTTTTGAATGTTTTGAGTGTAGAAAAATTTTTGTTTTGAGATCTGACCCCAGAAAGACTGCGAGAATTCACACGGGGGATAAGACTTTAGAATGTGGCAATTATGGAAAAACCTTTACGTGCAAATCACGCCTCATCACACATCAGAGAACTTGCTTAGGGGAAAGACCTTGTAGAGGTAGTGAGAGTGGGAAAGCCTTTTCCTACAATCCACATCTGCTACAACATCAGAGAATGCACACAAGGGAGAAGCCTTTTAAATGTAGTGAGTGTGGGAAAGGCTTTGCCCTGAAGTCATCCCTCATGAAACATCAGAGAATGCACACAAGGGAGAAGCCTTTGGAATGCAGTGAAAATGGGAAAGCCCTTATCCACAAATCAGAGGCCATCCCTCATCAGAGAATTCACACAGGGGAGAAGCTTTTTAGATGTAGTGTCTGTGTAAAAACCTTCACCCGCAAATCACAGCTCATCAGACATAGAAGATTGCATACAGGGAAAAAGCGCTTTGAATGTAATGAGTGTGGAAAAGCATATTTGTACAAGTCACTCCTCATAGTACATCAGAGAACACACACTGGTGAGAAGCCATTTGAATGTAGTGAGTGTGGCAGAGCCTTTTACTCTAGGTCTGACCACACAAGGCATCAGAGAATGCACACAAGGGATAAGCGTTTTAAATGTAGTGAGTGTGGGAAATCCTTTTCCCACAGGTCATACCTTACACAGCATCAGAGAAGACACACAGGGAAGAAGCCATTTGAATGTCTTGAATGTGGGAAAGCCTTTCCCACTAAGTCTGAGCATGCAAGGCATCAGAGAATGCACACAGGAGAGAAACCTTTTGCGTGCAGTGAGTGTGGGAAAGCCTTTTCTCGTAAATCACACGTGATACAACATCAGAGAATTCACACAGGGGAAAAGCCTTTTGAATGTAGTGAGTGTGGGAAACAGTTTTCCAGCAAATCACACCTCATCACACATCAGAGACTGCACACAGGAGAGAAGCCTTTTGAATGTAATGAATGTGGGAAGGCGTTTGCCTACAAATCGGAGGCCATTGTTCATCAGAGGAGTCACACAGGGGAGAAGCCTTTTAAATGTACTAAATGCGGGAAGGCCTTTACCCGCAAATCTTGCCTCAGAATGCATGAGATAACGCACCTGGGGAAAGCCTTTTGGATGTTGTGAGTGTGGAAAAGCTTTTTCCTGCAAGTCAGACCTCAGGGGACGTGGAGAACACACATGACAGAAAATCCGTTGAATAATGAGTGTGGAAAAGCCTTTACATGCAAGCCACATGCAATATATCATGAGAGAATTCACACAGGGGAAAAGCTTTTGGATGTAGTGATTGGAAAATTTTCCACTTGATAATCAAAAGAAAGATCTTTTGATTATCAAGTTTGTGGGAAAGCCTGTTTCTGCAAGTGTGATTTCAGAAACCAACAGAATTCACAGAGGGGAAACAGCTTCTAAGATAAAGAGTGGAAAAGCTTTTTCCACAATGAGACCTCCTAAGATGTTAGAAAATTGATTTTTAAAAAAGATTTATTTATTTTTTATTGTAAAGTCAGATATATACAGAGAGGAGGAGAGACAGAGAGAAATATCTTCCATCAAGTCATTGACTCCCCAAGTGACTGCCACGGCCTGTGCTGAGCTGATCTGAGGCCACAAGCTAGGAACTTCCTCCATGTCTCCCACGTGTGTGCAGGGTCCCAAGGGTTTTGGCTGTCCTCTACTGCTTTCACAGGCCACAAGCAGGGAACTGGATGGGAAGTGGAGCTGCTGGAACTAGAACTGGCTGCCATATGGGATCCCAGTGCATTCAAGGCAAGGACTTAGCCGCTAGACCACCACATTGGGCCCCAGACGTTAGAAAATTGAATCAGGTGAAACCTTGTATGTGTAGTAAGTGGAAAATCCTTTTCTAAAAAAATCACATCATATCAAAGAATTCACAGAGCAGGGATGCTTATAAATATGATTCTAGAAAAGCCTTTCCTGCCGGGCATATCTCAATATTTATCAAAGAACTCACAGGGAAAATATATTGAAGAAAGTGAGTGTGGGAAACCAATTTCTCAGAAGGTGTATCTCAAGAAGCTAAAGAATTCACAGTGGCACAGAAGCGACCTGAAGATAGTCAATGTGTAGAAAACTTTCCAATGAAATCACTTTGTAACACAGAAATTTCTTGTAAGAAATGACACATAAAGAAAACACGAAGGAGACACATGCTGTAATAATTGACATTCTTAAGGAAGTTACAGTTCATGAAGTGTCAGAGAACTTGCAAAGTTGAAACTTTATTAATCTCATCTGTCTGTAATAGCTTTTTTTCCCCCTGGCAATCACACCTCTGAATACATCAGAAAACTATATAGAAGAAGACTTCTGAAGGACATATGTGTAGGAAAAGTTTCCTACAATTGCGGTCTCAATCAGCATAGTTTTGTTTTGTTTTTTTTTTTTTCTAATGAGAAATTTTGAATGTAATTGACGTGTCAAAGAGAAAATTTGTTTGGGAAGTAAAATCTGTCCTGTATAATTTGACGAAGAATAAAAGTTCCATCAGTATAATGAATGCAAATATGTTTATTTTTATCTTTTAGTTTTGATGATCTTTACATGGTTGAATAATTGGTAAGACCATTGCTTCCACATTGTCTTTTTTTCTTCCTGTATCTGGAGGGAGGAGAGAGATAAGGGGAGAAGCCACTCCAAGCCTCTCAAATTCCAGGGTCCCCAATGTGGGGCATGCTCTGAGGGCACTACTCAAGTGGTTTTGATACTTCAACAGTTTTGAATTGCTGCCAATCTCACCACTCCAAGCATGATGAAATCTGCAGAGTCCAGTAGCTGACATAGTCCACCTTAGAGTCTCCGTTTACCTAACTTTTTACTAACACTTGGCTGGGGTAGTTGATTGATGTGTTCTCTCCTTCATTCTTTGTTATTGTACCAGGTGTCCTTTGCAGGTTTGAATGTACCGTCATATCTTCCATGTGCACCAGGTTATGCTGTTCACTGTTCTGTCTAAACCACTGAGGAGGCCCAGGTCTGACATAAACACTCCACGTTTGGACCATGGACCAATTTTCTCCATGATTTTAGTTCTGGGTCCAGCAGTTCAGTTGGGGAGATATCAAAAGAAGCCTCATCTGAGGTGATCCCAGACTTGATTTTTGTGTGTTTCTGTGTGTGCTTGCCAGTACAGGGACTGGAAAATCTGTCACCACAATCAGCTTACACTCAAACTTGTAGTTGCAATTGCTGGGCCAGTTCTGTTTCCAGTCTGTCCTCTACGCAAACCAGTGGGTATTGCAGCCCAGCCTGGTCCCACCACCATACACTTGGCCCTTGTGCAATCCAGTGGGAGCTACAGCCTAGTCAGGGCAACTTGCAATAGCCCCCACCAGGCACTCTCCTGTACTGGTTCTCATGCTTGCCAGTCTGTTTCACATCCCATTCAGCTCTCTAACATGTCAATGGGCATTTATGCCTAGTTTAGCTCAGTTAGCCCAATCATCCAGCCCACACTTCTATTGGTGGGTGCAACTCTGTCTAGCCATGCCTGCCCCAGTCCTGGTTATCATGCTCACCAGTCAGAGTGGCAACCCAAAAGAGAGGTGCCCACTGTTTCCCTACTGGGCCCACTCTTACTCCTGAATCTTGTACTCTGCAGATGGTTCTGCAGTTTAACTTGACAGAGTTCACCCCCACCCCCGCCCATCCCAGGCCAGCATCCACCAGTCCTTGCTGCAGCAAAACCCAACCAACCTACACCCACTTCGGCTTATGCACTCACCAGTAGGAATGGTCAACACAGCCTGGCTTTCTGCTGGTGCCACTCATCTGAGGCCAACAGGTGTTGTAGACATGCCCAGCCTGATCTACCCCCAACCCCAGCTCCCATGCTCACTAGTAGAAGTAGAGGGGTCACAGGGGAGCCCCATACAGCCCCCTACTGTGTTCCTTTCCTACTTCCTTCTCCCTCCCCACCCCCCCAACCCCCCATCCCAGGTCTTATATGTGCTGGTTAAGCGCTGCCACCTTGCATCTGCCAGTGGGTACTGTAGCCTAGCCCAGCCTAGCCCACCCCTATTTCCAGCTCACGCTGCTAAGGACTACAGCATAGCTCCACCCAGGCAGTCCCCATTCTTGACCGTAATGTAAACTGGCTGGTCATGACCACACACTTTTCTGGCTCTCAGATTTCCCAGTGGGTGATATAAACTGACCTAGCCTGGCTCACTCCAGAACTGCGCCAAATGGATGCCAGTAGGTACCATTACATGGGCTGTTCTGGGCTGCTCCCTGTTCTGGTTCTTGCATTCATTTGCAGGGACTGTGTCCCAATAGAGGAGTTGCCACAGCTCCTCCATCAGAACCTCTCCCAATGCCAGGTCTTGCGCACACAGGTGGATCCATGGGCTAGCCTTTCTTAGTCCACCTTCTGTCACAGCTGGAATAGTAGTAGCCTTTTCTAACCGGTCCTTGCCCTTTTCGGTTTTTACTGTTGTGTGCTACAGCCAGCCCAGCCAAACTTGGAACACCAGCTAGACACAGCTCATATTGTGGCTTAGCACGGAAAGAGACCTAGCCCAGTTTATAACTTTTTTTTTTAAACGAATGAACCAGCAGACAGATCTCTCTCTCTGTATCTCATCTGTGTATCTGACTTTCCAGTTTAAAAAAAAAAAACTTTAATAAAGATCTTAAGTTGTGTAAAACTTGTGATAATAGTATATGAGGTGACTTATGAACATGCATTTCCCGCTTTTATTTTTTAAAGATTTATTTATTTTTATTGCAAAGCCAGATATACAATATACAGAGAGGAGGAGAGAGAGAAAAGATCTTCCATCCAATGATTCACTCCCCAAATGACCACAATGGCCAGTGCTACGCCAATCTGAAGCTAGGACCCAGGAATTTCCTCCAGATCTCCCACACGGGCACAGGGTCCTAAGGCTTTGGGCCGTCCTCAAGCATGGAGCTGGATGGGAAGTGTGGAGCTGCTGGGACTAGAACCAGCACCCATATGGGATCCCGGGGCGCATTCAAGGCGAGGATTTTAGCCACTAGGCCATTGCGCCGGGTCCCCCGGTTCATCTTTAACCCATCCTGGTTTTCATGAGCACCAGTTGGTTTTGGAGTCTAGCCCAGTCTGATACACCCCAGATCCAGTCCCTACCCATGCCAAGAGAGACTACAGCCATGTCCAGATGAGACCACAGCCCCCAGTCTGGCCCTCACGTTCACAATGGGAGCCCCTCATCTGTCTAGGCCTTTATCATTATATGCTACAGCTTGGCCTAACCTGGCAAGTCCCCAGTCCCAACTCTCGCTGGTGGGTGCTGCCACCTGGACCTGCTCAGCCTTCTCCCATCCCTGGCTCTTGTCGTGTAGCCTAGTCCAGAATGTTCTGCACTCCAACCTGGTTTCTGTACTTGTCAGTGAGTTAATGTCTGCTCAGCCTTGCTCGGTGCTCAGCCTTGCCCAGTCCTCCACCAGCCCATGCACTTGCTGACACAGAGAGGTGCCTTGCCCAGCCTGCCCAATAACACTCCTGGACCCTGTGCTCACCAGCAGGAGCTATGACTCAATGGCGGAGTTGCCCAGGTCCCCCCACATGGCTCACTCCGAGACCCAGATCTTACACATACCAGCAGGTGTCAGGCCCCCACCCAGCATAGCCTGCCCCCTCCATCCCAGGCTTTCTGTGAGCTGGTGGATGATGTGACCTTGCCCGCTCCATGCCCTGTTTTAGGGTGCACATGCAGGTCCTGCAGTCTACCTGCCCAGCCTGTTCCCAACCCTACTACCTGTGAGGGTGAGCTGATTCCATGGTAACACCTAGCTCATCCTCTCACAGTCCAACTCTTAAGCTAACCAGCACAACTTGTATTTCCACAGGTTTAAGCGCACATATCCCCTCCAGAATTTACTACCGGTCCTGGTTTTCTTGCGTGCTGGTTGGTGTCATGGTCCAGCATAATGTGACCTGTGCACTGTTCAGACATTCACTGTCATGTACTAGGATCTAGCCCAGCCAGCCAGACAGGCCCCCAGCCCTAGGTGAACATTTTCCTTCCTGATTAATCTGAAGAAATCCAATTTTTTTATTCCATAGGCACAAGTTCAAAGAATACCCACAACCATTTCTCCTCTGCTCTGCTCTAGGAGCTTTTCCTTACTATGATTCAACAGCATTTGCATACAGTTTTAATCCACACTATTTACATTTTTCATTTGCTAATAATAATATCCAGTAAGGAAAATTTAAAATGATATTTCTTCTAGAATTTAAACATGAACTAAAAACAGTTTTCCCCCAAT